AACTAGTTTTGATTGCCTTTTTATTCATAATGTTTTTAATAGTGCTACTATAATGCAGAGGTGGTAGAAGTACTCAGATATTGTACTTCAGTAAAGTAGAACTACTCAGATCTTGTACTTGAGTAAAAGTAGAAGTACTCAGATCTTGTACTTGAGTAAAAGTAGAAGTACTCAGATCTTGTACTTGGGTAAAAGTAGAAGTACCAGTGTAGGAATACTCGGTTACAGTAAAAGTAGAAGTACTCAGATATTGTACTTGAGTAAAAGTAGAAGTACTCAGATCTTGTTCTTGAGTAAAAGTAGAAGTACTCAGATCTTGTACTTAAGTAAAAGTAGAAGTACTCTGATATTGTACTTGAGTAAAAGTAAAAGTACCAGAGTGTAGGAATACTCTGTCACAGTAAAAGTCCTGCATTCAAAATGTTCCTCAAGTAGAAAAGTATCATCATCAAAATATAGTGAAAGTAGCGACAGTAAAAGTAGTGATTGTGCAGATTGGTCCATTTCAGAATAATATATCTGATATGTTTTATAATGATTGATCATGAAAGTGTTCTCAAAGCTGGTAAAGGTGCAGCTAGTTTGAATGACTTTGTATACTGCAGGGTAGCTTGTGGATTTACTCCAGGTGGAACTAAAGTCTGATTTAACACTTGGTTATATTTCACATCATTCATCCACATCTGTGAAGTAACTAAAGGGATTAAATACATGTAGTGGAGGACAGGTACACCATGTATCTCTGAACTGTAGTGGAGTAAAAGTACACAGTTTACCTCTGAATTGTAGTGGGGTAGAAGTACAAAGACTCAAGTACAATTACCTCAATATTCTCTGCTATAATGTGACACTTTGTATGAAATTCCTCATGTGTTAATTGAGCATTTCTCTTGGTAATCTCACCTGACTTCAGCAAAGAAAACACTTCTATTAAAAAGCCCTTCTTCTTCCCCCGCGACAGAGTGAACGGTGTAATGTAAGGACAGGAAAGAGAGGCTCGATGCACATGTGAACACATCAGGCCTCATGAATAATCTAATGTAATCTCACGCTGCCTGGAGTTCGTGAAGCATGCGAACGACGAGGCTAAACATAGCCATTGTTGGATTAACCAAAACAACTCATGATGTGATCAAATCAGGTCAAAGCAGGTCAGCAGCTCCGGCTGAAATGGGGGGAAAGTAACGTAAATGTAGGTTTTATATGTTAGATAATCTTCACTTGTTATATTTAATTAAATAACCACATTGCAGATACGAGGCCAGGTGTTTTAAGATAGAAAAAGAGTACACATTGTAGAGGGAATGGCAGAGATGGAGAGGTCAATAGGGGAGCAGCAGCTTATAGGATTTTAACACCTGCTGTGTGAAATAGGTGTCATATAGTCAGGTTTTTTACAGTTTTGTATTTGTATTCAACTTGACTTTATGCAACTTCTATTCCACCACATTTGAGTTGCAAATATAATACTATATTCTCAACTTCCCCTTCATTTTTTGGGGCAGTTTAATTAGTAATTAGCAGGTTTGTGTGAAAATAAATGTTTGCGATAATGAAACCTAGCATTAGGAACTACATCTAAATTAATAAAATGCTGGTATTTTAAGTTCAGTGTGTTCAAATGAGACACAGTAAGGCCCCCTTGAGGTGCATGCCTAAAACAGTATTTTTCAGAATATTCACCTAAAATATTTGTTTAAAAAAACAATGATTGAAAAGAGAGTTGAGGTGCGGATATTAGTGGGACTTGCAATCTCTGTGTATAAAATCCTGGCTGATATTAAGGTTGTATGCATCAGAATACTTCTTCTCTGTCTTGAAAATGCATAAATGCATGATCTAGCCTACGCTGAAAAGCAATATGCATCCAAGTATCTCACATTCACTGTCACCATCACCCACGCTGTGTTATTTAACAGTTTCCATTTCCCCATAAAACAGCACATGCATGACAGTGGGAGAAACACAATGTTCTGTATTCAGACTAAACATCTGGAGGGGGCGCTGTGACAATAAATTGATTTCTGATGTTTGATCTGCTACATTAAAATGATGCTGACAATAAATACCAATACATTTACATCAACAGCCAATCTTTAACCTGCATAATAAGTACTACTTTTGGTATTCATTTATCATTTTGCTTATAAAAACTACGCTTATCGTAGTCCACTTCCAATTAACATTGAGAACTAACTACAATTAGAGCTCATCGGTTTATAAACTCGTCCCTAAGTGTGGTTACATGTAGATTATGACAGCAAAATAATCATAAAACAGACACTTCAGAATTGTATTTCTGCCACATTTCGACTGCATGTCCGGGAATAATTGAATATTTACAGAAAGAAGTCAAATGTGATTGCAAAAAAAGTATGTAAGGGTTGTGGTGTGGAGATCGTAGGACTCCTGATCTCTAAAAAATAGTAGTGCTTTATGTTCTTCCACTGCCTCTCAAATAAATATGCATGATCCTACACTGAAAAGCAATATACATCCAAGTATTTCACATTCACCGTCATCACCCACGCTGTGTTGTTTAATAGTTTCCATTTCCCCATAAAACAGCACATTCATGACAGTGGGAGAAACACAATGTGCTCCTCTGTACTGTTCTGAACTGTACGAGTACTCATGTAACTGCATTTCAACTTAAATGTTAACGAATATGAACAGTAACCTAAACATGATTGGAGGTTGGTGGTGTGAATGTTGGGGGACATGTGACCCTTTGTATGCATACAATCCTGACTGATGTTACATTTGTATCACTTGAAATCTTCTTCCAGTGCCTCACAAATACATGTATTCGTCCCACAGCATCATAACGTATCAAAATAACAACACTAGAATATGGTGTAAATGTTAACTGCTGTGTTATTTAATAGAAACACAATGCCTCTCTCTCTCTCTCTCTCTCTCTCTCTCTCTGGTAAATGCTGAACATCTGGATGGGGGCGCTGTGACAATGAATGCCCAGAGAGCGTGCAGCTATACATCTGACACAGGAGAATTATAGAGTTAATAGCATTTGGCATGACAGGGAGGGAGAGACTGAGAGCCGAGCAGTGAGAGCCGAGTCTGATGCAGTCTCATCCCGCTTAGTATTCACTGAGCAGCGCCTCCAGGCCCCGGAGGAGGAAGGGCTCACCTGCCCGGAGTCTAGCCGAGAAAACACACCGTAAATCGGACGGGATTTGATCCGTCAGTCAGGAGGGAGACGGTTGTGTTCCGCCGCCCGAAGGGAGAGGACAGCCCCGGTGAGTGGAGAGGGTAGAGGGGGTGGATGAGGGGTGGATCATGGTGGGTGGGGCTCAGACAGAAGGGTCGGCTGGGGACGCTGCCTGTCTACCTGCAGAGGGGCTGTGTAATCAGATCCTGTCTCTAATGTCATCTGATTACATTGATTGCATTACGTGTAACATTAGATATAGACAAGGATGTGATTGTGAGACTGTTAAAGGATGGAGTCGAAATAAATGAATACATACTCATTTAAAAAAATGTATATAAAATATAATATAATAAAATAAAATATGATTGCCAGCCTCAAATGTTTAAAAAAAAAAAATGTAATATATATTCATAAAATACAATTTAATAAAAAATCTAATTAAATAATTGCAGGCTGCTTTTAGAATAGATTCAAAATGAAACTAAATATATACATTTGGCTCATAGTTATAATTCAATTATAAATAAATACCATACCATTTTTTTTAGACCCAAGTATGGAATGGTTTCAAAATAAATAAAATAGGAAAATAAAAAGGTATAGCCAAACCAAAAAAAAAAATCGAAAAAAAAAATCATTGATTTCAGTTTCGTCACCTTTGTTATGACTGGACAAAAACAATATTCCCACGTGCACAAAAGTTAACTTTCTCTGAAAAAGAAATCTTCTTTATACCACCAAGTTTCTGTGCTAAAGAAAGCAGCATATTTCCCTTTAGCCATGCTACTAATTGGCATTGTTCACTATAGTTGGTATTTGTATGGAAAAATGTCCATTTCTGATTATCCCATTTGATTGGAAGCAGTCCAGTTCACCTCTCAATCAACACACTATCAGTGACAGATCACAGTAAGGTGTAGGGTGTAGGTTGCAGCACTGGCAGAAGTCATGAGACAGTGCAGGGTCCCCCCCCCCTCCACCTGTCTGTCTACCTGTCTGTCTAGCCAATCGGTTTCTCTGCGATCAGTCTGCATCCCCTGGGAGAGTTAACAAAAAAAAATCCAAATCCTATGCGTCCCCCCCTCCACCTCCTCGATGGCTCTGCGCTCTCCTTCTCGCCTGCATGTGTGTGAGTGTGTGTGCATGAATTGCGTGCATGCTCCTCCGGCTGCTGGTTCAGAGCTTTACAGTCACAATGAACGGCTGCCTGTAGCGGAGCGGAGGGACACACTACACCGCTTATTTGGTATTATTCTGCCCTCCATTGAATCACTCTCCAGCCGGAATACAGCCGAGGGTGAGTTGAGCACGGCGGGTCACCGAGGACAAATGTTCTGGTGAGATGGGTCGCTCAGTTTATCCGAGCCCCGTGCATGCATCTTAAATTCGGCTGGGTGATTTTGGATAGAGGGGTGGTGTGTTTCCCTGCAGTGCATGGTGTGTTGAAGCCATTGTTATTTTATTGTTTTTTTTTAAGAGGATGGGGTGGTAAAGTTGTGTGCTATGGGGGATGGGCTCATGAGGACAAACTTTAACCACTTCACCGACTTCACTCATTTGTCCCCGGGGGCTGTCCCCCTCCTTTTTCCCCTCGGTAAGTGTCTCCTGCATTCCTGAACTTTCTTTAAAAAGGAAAAAACTTAGGATTTTTTGGGGACGTGGGTGCAGGTTTCCATGCTAAATGTGCATCTCCTCCAGTGTCTTGTCGTTACACGGGTTAAGATTTGTTATAGCCAGCCCCCTTTACTTTCCTTCCCTTTCCCCCTCCTCTCCCCTCTCGCCATGCCGGATCCATCCGTCCGTCTCGCCCACAGTTGCAGCGCATTTGTGTCCCGGGATGACCTGTTGATGTCGGCTAAAGATGGAGTACAGTATCGCTGTCCCTCCGCTGTAGACCCCACTGGAAAACTAAATAAATACCACGCGTAAATGTTCAAGTGGCTCCCCTAAAATCCCATTATTTGGAGATTGAATTAATAATTTATTTGCATAAGCGACATTTTGGAGAGAGGGGGGAACCCACAACGCGTGTCCCGACTCGGTGGCTGCCATTCGTCCGGAGCAGGAGGAAGGGAACTCGGTCTAAAAACGGACACCACATCGCGGAAAGAGGCGCTACATATTTTATCCCCACGTCTATTTTGGTGACCCTGGTAACTCGGACGATGTGCGTGTTTTAAGAGGAGTTGACTACGGGGTTGGCACGCCAGAAAGAGGTTTCTTGTTGTCCCTTTTCCGCCGCCCCCCTCCTTCCCTCCCTCCCTCACCGGCCCGGGACTCCCAAATCCTACCGGGCATCGAGGCTGGCACGGCGGGGCACCGAGCACTGTCTGCCCGCTGTGACCGCCCTCTTTCCCCGCTGCTCTTTCCCTCTTTTCCCGAGGCGACTACCGGCGAGACATCTCTAGTCTTTTCATGTGAGATTAATTAATGTATAATTAATGTGGATAAATAATTATTCTGCAAGTTTGTAGCTGTAGTCGAGCTCATGGGAGGCTACGATGTAGCCACTTTTGGGTGCATGCATGTGTCGGCAAATATCATATTCAGCCTTAAATGTCTTAAAGGGAGAGTTCACTTAAGGCTGGCATGTGTAAAACTTTATTTAACGGCGTTTTTGTGGATTAAATATACATAAGTGTATCAACTCATGCCAGTGTTAGCCTTAGCTTTAGCTTGCTACTTGCTAACAGGCCACCTTTAACCTCCCGAAACCAGGAAACTGAGGTTGTGATTGATGTTGATATCACATGTTTGAGGATTCAAGTAGTTGTTATTGATTGTATGCCAGCAAAGCAGACTGCATTGATTGAGTTATTGTAAATGGCTGTTAGCTGGAGCAATGGAGTTAGTCTGCATGAAGTAAAGTGTTTATGGCACTGGATTTGAACTTCTAAGGTCGCAGACAGCACACACACACAGACAGATTTAGGGGAGAGTGTTTAATGGGGCACATGGGGACTGGGGGGCAAGGGTCAAGTGGTGTGAATAAACTCCCCTTTATGTTTCCTGGAAGCTGTTGTGACCTCGCTGACCTGTAATGAGGGAAAGGTGGCTGGTAGGATGTCCTTGGTTGACATCTCCAGTGTGTTGACATCAGATCAGGCCGGCCTTTCTCCCGGGTGAAAAGGAAAGGGTAAAGCTACAAAAATACCCCTGAGCAACTCAACACGTCATCACCAGTGCTGCTGCTTTTTGAATTTTGCTTATTGTGGGAAGATGTATTGTGGGAAGATGTATTTCACATGCATGCTTTGTCCTAGCAATTGCCTGCTTATTATTCATATGATTGCACATATTTTACACCTGGAAAAAACCACAGGCATCTGTGATTGGGCGCTGAGAAGCTCCACTGGGACATGTTGTGTGTTTAAATGCTCGCTTGAGGCCAGATTTAAGGGAGCAGAGAGTCTTAATCATGCATTTTTTAGTACCTTAGTTTCCTAGCCAGTGCAGAGGTCAAATCCTGCAGCTATGAATCTTATTACTGCTGCTTTATTATCAGTCTTAAGTACGGCAACCTGTTTTAATAAGACAAAAATCCACCTGACCATTATGATAATGATATACTGATTGAAGTTGGAGTAATGTTAATAACACATTCTGGATATGTTCCAAAGAAATAGCATTCAGAGCCACTTTAGCTGAACATTAATTACGTTAATGTAATATATACAGTATATATGGATTTCTTTACATCGACACAGTGGCGAGGAAGTTTATGTCCAAACATCATTGATTTCAACAAAATAAGTAGTAAAAAAAAAAAACTGATTTATACACTCGGCCGCTAATTGTGTTTTGAGAAAAAGCCAATGTTATTCAGATCAAATTGTCCAAAGTGATTCCAGTCCAATAAGCAATCCTAATTGTTTTTCAGTCCAGAAATTGGCTGCCCAATTCATTAAGCATGATAATATTGTGAATACAGTTTACAGAATTAGTACTTATAATAATAATATTAGAATATTTATCATATTTCAACTGAAAAACACCCAAATGTTCTGATAACCAAAGATTTTAGCCTTCATTGTGAAGCTCATCCAGAATTGTGTATATTCAAAAAAAATGTTTTAATTAATGTTTAGCTTTAGGACTTTAAATACTCATGACTTACTCTCCCTTATAACCCACTGCCCTACTAACTATGCAGATATCTATCAAAATTAACGAGATGCTATAAACGCAACAATTAATTATGATGAAATGTTGATGACTCTTTTATTCTCAGCGCTGCCCTTATGTAGGCGTTGCACTTTTTTTTAAATCTGTATTTATCGTCAACTAGGGAAGGTTTGCTCTCTTATATTCACACCTGGAAGATTCCCAGTACAACCACTATGTTTTTATTGTTGGTCAAATACAGGAGTTTGAATTTAAACGAAAAATCTAACTACAGATTAGGGCTGGAACTTTAATTAAATGTTATCTAAATCGCAATATAATAGTTCTAGGAGTTAGCAATATAGCAGTTTAGCATTCGGTTAATGCAAAGTGCAGTGTGTGTGTGCACATACCATTTTCATGTTGTGGTGCTGCAGAGTTGCCCCACTTTTACAAACCATATTCTACAGATTTGGTTTTAATACAAAAAAACTATATATTTTTAAATTAAATGAGAATAGGGGCAGTGTTTCCCACATCATTTGATTCTAATTGTGGGGGCACCGCACCGCACCGCACCCCCCCCCCGGCAAGAAAAGCCAAAGGCCCCTTAACCTATTCGGGTGGCCCACGCATCCACCCCCCCTCAAATAATAAAATACATGCAAGTTCATGGCTACTTTAGACAACGTTCTTGTTGCTCTGTGCTGCGTTGTTAATGAGTGAGACATACCGGAGTTGAGGATCTGTGGGGTTTATTCTCCCAACAATATAATTTACAATGTAGGCATTTAGCAGACGCCTTATTCCAAAGCGACTTACAATGACCAATTACAGGGACATTCTCCCTGGAGTAACTGAGGGCTAAGTGCCTTACTCAAGGGCACACTAGTGGTGGTGTTCCAGGCGGGATTTGAACTTGCAACCTTCCGATCATCAGCCCACCTCACTATCCATTAGGCCACCCAAAAAAACGAAAAAAAAACCTCAAATAGTTTTTTGGGGGTCTACTTCTACCAATTAAGGGGTAAATGGTCGTCTACCAATTGGACATTTGTTGGTTGGATCCTTAGTCAATGCAGTCAACATCTTGAAGTGTTCTTGTGCAAGATATTGAACCCCATATTGCTCCTATAGGCATGGCCAACGGTTGAAAGGGGATTTGTAATAGTCACTTTAAATTAAATCAAATCAAATCAAGGTTTATTTATAAAGCACATTTAAAAGCGATTTTTGGTCGGGCCAAAGTTCTGTACATGTAATAACTACAATCACATAAAAACACATTTCTATAATCACAATAAAAGACAATAAATTACAACAGATATTTAAAAAAAAAAAACACAGGGTTAAAGTCAGGAGTCGTGCTCCGCTCTGACTAAAAGGCCAGGGAGAAGAAGTGTGTCTTAAGAGTGGATTTAAAAACCCCTAGGGTCTGGGCCGACCTCACATGGAGGGGCAGAGTGTTCCAGAGCCTAGGGCCAGCTGCTGCGAAGGCTCGGTGCCCTCGGGTTTTGAGCCTGGTCTTGGGCACTACCAGCAACAGCTGGTCAGCAGACCTTAAAGCTCTGGCTGGGGTGTAGCGCTGGAGGAGTTCAGCTATATAGGCCGGAGCCAGCCCAAATTAAATGTATTTTAGGTTTGGTGCAGACTGAAGACAGTTCGACAGTCAGCCAATCAGTGAGGTCTACCCTGTCCAATTCTAACAAACATCCAAGTTGAACCTGGACGTTTTTTGGGGATCTACTTCTACCAAATGGTCATAAATGGTGGGGGTAAATGGTCGTCTACCAGTTTGACGTTTGATGTTTGGACGCTTAGTCAATGCAGCCAACATGTGGAAGTGTTTTTGTGCAAGATGCTGAACCCCATATTGCTCCTATAGGCATGGCCAACGGTGTAAAGGTGATTTGTAGTAGTCAGTTTAAATTAAATGTATTTTAGGTTTAGTGCAGACTGTTCTAATTACTTCCTATTTCAAAGGAAGGCTGAAGACAGTTTGACAGTCAGCCGATCAGTGAGCTCTAACAAAGTTAACCCTGCGATATGCACAGCTTGTCAACAAGAGTCTCAACTGTTTTCGTTACACTTTGGGATGAATTGGTGTTATATTTCCTCCGAGGGGAAGCAGTTCACGGCCGTAAGCCGGATCAGGGATCAGTGGGTCTCTGTTACTTTGCTGAACAGCCAAAAAAAGTGCCGGCCAACACAGAAATATATTTTACTCAGCATTAGTCATTGCACTTTTTTGTCTGACTCGTAATTCACAATTTTGTTGACGCTACCTATCAATTACTAAATCGGATTTCTACCACAATGAGTCGTGAAATACTTGAGGATGGATCTCTTAAAGTTCCAGTTGTTTCTGACTTGCTGTTTTCATGCAGATCAGTGTGATGGATACATGGTTTCTCACACAGTTTTTCATCATCACTTGGGGTATTCAAGTGCAAACTAAAGTGTTTAAGCCTTTGCATTGAAGGGAGTGATTTCAGCTGTTTAACACACATTTCGTGTTATTGTGACATGGTTTAGCAAAGTGTTCTTGTTGTGGCCGGATCAGTAACATTGTGGTGCATAGAGTTGAAATGATATGGTCTATGTAAGGAATAATGTGCAGCGACGGGGTCATTATGGGGAAAAGAACACCGACAGGCTGATCAGGAGCCCGACGCGAAGCGGAGGGATCTAGATCGGCATGAAGGTTCGATTCGATTTTATTTATATATTTTTTTATTATTATTCATGTTTTTCTTTTTTTTCCTGGCTTAGTTTCAACCAAAATATAGACTAATGCTAATAATAGTAATAGTATTAATAATTGTAAATGGCCATTGGTCACACCACCAGTTTGTTTTACTGTAAACTTGGAGGAAGCCAGCAGCGCAGGCTGCGCAGAGTGCAGACTGCTGCTGCAGCCTGCGCAGCCTGCTACACACCGACCCCCCCCCCCCCCCCCCCTTCTCCGTCACACGTGCGATTGATTTATTGGCGATATACAGAACAGTGAGAACAACACAACTAAAGATGAACAAAGAAGAGTTCCTCGTGGAACTACTTCGAACTGACAAGTGCAAATGAAGTAAAATGCAAGCTCTGCGAAAATACTTTTTTTCTCTCCCGCGTGGGGGGGGGGGGGGGGGGGGGGGCGAATAATCGATTAATATTCGCCAGGGCTGTCCGATTTTCGAATTTGATCATGGTCAGTTTCTGGCATCCCTACTTAATACGGTTTATATTTTGGTATTTGTTAATTTTTGATAGCTGTGATGATACCATTTGTTTTTGACGATTGCAACCGGGCCGGACATCAGCCGCTTTTGTTTGTTTCCTGATGTCGCTGCACAAAAAGAGACAAGAAGTTAGTCTGATGCTTCACTTCAGATAGTACTTGAATGAGCGTTGGATCAAAGTTATAAATAAGAATATTATTTCTACTGACCTGACCTCTCTGTGACCTTTTACTAGTCTTTCTCCCAATGGACGAACAAACCTAATCACCATCATGTAGTTTCCTATTATCAGTGGTTTGATTTTGGGTTGGTTTACTCAATCAAACGTAGCATTAAAGCAGATCAGCAGAGGTGGGAAGTGGTGCAGTACAAATATTTTGTTACTGTACTTAAGTACATTTGTTCTGGTATCAGTACTTTACTCCACTACTTATTTTTCTGACTACTTTTTACTTTTCTTACATTTTGAACACAAACACCTGTACTTTCTACTTCTCACATGTTGAACCCAAATACCTGTACTTTCTACTTCTTACATGTTGAACCCAAATACCTGTACTTTCTACTTCTTACATGTTGAACCCAAATACCTGTACTTTCTACTTCTTACATGTTGAACACAAATACCTGTACTTTCTACTTCTTACATGTTGAACACAAATACCTGTACTTTCTACTTCTTACATTTTGAACACAAATACCTGTACTTTCTACTTCTTACATGTTGAACCCAAATACCTGTACTTTCTACTTCTTACATGTTGAACCCAAATACCTGTACTTTCTACTTCTTACATGTTGAACACAAATACCTGTACTTTCTACTTCTTACATGTTGAACACAAATACCTGTACTTTCTACTTCTTACATTTTGAACACAAATACCTGTACTTTCTACTTCTTACATGTTGAACCCAAATACCTGTACTTTCTACTTCTTACATGTTGAACCCAAATACCTGTACTTTCTACTTCTTACATGTTGAACCCAAATACCTGTACTTTCTACTTCTTACATTTTGAACACAAATACCTGTACTTTCTACTTCTTACATGTTGAACACAAATACCTGTACTTTCTACTTCTTACATTTTGAACACAAATACCTGTACTTTCTACTTCTTACATGTTGAACACAAATACCTGTACTTTCTACTTCTTACATGTTGAACCCAAATACCTGTACTTTCTACTTCTCACATTTCCCAAACAGGCTGGTTCCTTTAGTTTGAATGTGTGTTTGGTGGCGTGATCATTATTATTTAGAGTCATTGCGTGCCTATTGATTTGAACACGATCCGTGTATCCATCATTTCCTGGTCTTCTCTAAAGAAGAGGGACCAATGAAAACGTTGTCATGTTGCCGTTGTTCAGCATGGAAACATTCATTAGCTAACAATGACATTATTGTTCTATTAATATAAAGGGAGGTCAGGTACTCTTTAAAACAGCTGCTAGTTATGGGTACTTTTTACTGAAGTACATTTCAAAGCCCTCTTTACTTTCACTTGAGTAAAGAAGTTTAGTCAGTACTTCTACTTTCACCAGAGTATTTTTAAACACGAGTATCTGTACTTCTACTTGAGTAAAGGACGTGTGTACTCTTGCCCTCTCTGCTTCTATGTATATAAGGTGCATTAATGGACATAAATAAAGGGTCCGTTGGAAAGTGATGCCTCCAGTCTTTCAGAGACAGACTCCTTGTTTGTTTTCCCGTCACAACTTAGACAGTTCCTCCACGTCTGATCACAGGCTTCTTCTTTGTTGGTGCCGAAGAAGAAGACGAGTTATGTAAGAGACGGTGTTTTGACTGCGAGCGCAACGAGAAAATAACAAAGTAGGCCACGAACCAGCGAACAGTTCATTAGCTGTGAATTAGATGTAATGAAACAAGGTTAAAAAGGCGTTGCTTATATAACAGTCGCTGGTGGCCCAGAATTCTCTTTCATTTGGAAGTTGTTTACCAAATACTTAATTTATTAATCATCATCAAACTTCTCTTTATTTCAAGTCTCTCTCCTCTTTCCCAGTTCTCTCTGTTTGCACATCTTCTCGTTCTTCTCTTCCAACTTTATTTTTGTCTCATAACTTTTTATGATTCACTATTTCCCTCTTCTCCTGTCCTCACTTTTCTGATACCTCTCCATGTACCCCTTCCTCATGCTCCTTATCACCTTCCCTGATACGTCCCTGCCACATCTTCTCTTTTCATTACTATCTAATTAGGGCTGCCACTCACAATCATTTACATTATTGATTAAACAGCCAATTCTAATGTAACGCTGTAACCAGATGAGTGATTACAGCGCCCGGTATCATTTTAAACACATTTGTATCAAACAGATGCAGGACTTACACACGCCTGCTTTCTAACCGACAGGTCCGCACGCACTCTCCAGCCGAAACTCTACATTCATTCACAAACTAAATCAGGAGACCTTTAACGTTTTACGTCCGATTCGCTCCTTTTTTCCTCGCTGTACGCAGCTCCAGTTTGGGCATCGGCCTGACATCAGATTTATTTTTAGTTGCTGCTGTAGCGGAAGTTTAGTACAATTTATTTTTGATTAAATCTCCACCCTCCATACAGTAATTGGACTTGCTTCAGTTGCTTGCTACTTTCTAACGGCGGTGAGAGTGGTGCAGTGACGCTATCTATCTATCGATTAGATTTATGATTCGAAAATGATAAAAGTAGGGTAGACATGTGGATATTATCCGGCTGAACAAAACGTGCATTTATCTAACAGGTTCGTTTTCCACAGACCTTATTTAGAGCTATTTTCCAAAATCCTATGGAGAGAAATCCCATTGCTTTTTTGTCGAGGGAACGCGAGCGCAGCTTACTTCCGGGTTTTAGGACGCATCACTGCACCACCAAGTTGATGCGATTTGATTGGATTGTGAGGCAAGGGAAGCCAGCCGCCTCTGTCTTCCCTTGGCATGGCTCTGACCAATCACAGGTTGGCAAGGGCATGACGTGAGCCTCGTCTGATTGGTCAATCCCTCCATTTTTTTCACCAAGGGAAGCCAATTTCGGCTGGCCTCCTCTCGCAACAGAGTGCAATCTACTGTTTTACCATAACTTCTAGAGGGGCGCTGTTTCACTCTTTGTAAAATACTCAATGAGAATGGGGGAGATACGGGCCGGCAGCAACACACAGCAAAGAAGAATGACCGAAACTAAACGAAGGGTTTTTATTTATTTATTAAAATCTTCCCTTGGCCTCCAGGAGAAAACGCCACTGGTTGTATCGCAAAATAATGAAGGCATCAGGCAAAACATATTGAAAAATGTTGTTTTTCTTCAGTGCTTTTTCCTGAATGTATGGATTCATTGGTATGTTTGTTCCATAAAATGTCGGAAAATAGTGAAAAACGTCCATCCCAGTTTCTAAAAGCCCAAGGTGATGTCTTTAAAGTTGTTGATTTGTCAGTGAAAACCTAAATATATTAACTTTATACAATTATAATGCAGAAAAAACACAATTTCTGCAATTTTTTCCCCTAAAAGTACCGTGACAACCACCTAGTATGATAACCAATCATCGTATCATTGAAAATCTACTTGCTGAACAATTTCTATCCGGTTCTCTGTGCTCTACCTAATTATATTTGATTTGATTGATTCACTGTTAAATCATTTTAAAAAAGCAGGAAATATTTTTTTAATTTATTTTATTTAGCCTTTATTTATACTGGTGTAAAATCTCGTTGAGACACAAGGTCTCATTTTCAAGAGAGAATATACATTTTCTAGAGGCGGAGAAGGTATTTTTCTGCCATTTTTGCCTTAAATAATGACTGGGATGATCATACATGGTGATTATCTCTCCTGTCAGTCGACCTATGGTTGCAGCTCTTCTTCGATTGATGTCAGTACAGTTACCTGTCCTCTAACCCCCCCCTCTGTGCCTCCTGCAGACCCTGTGGTGCTGGGCAGAGCGTTATGGCTCAGACGCTACAGATGGCGATCCCAAACTTTGGCAACAACATCCTGGAGTGTCTGAACGAGCAGCGGCTGCAGGGCCTCTACTGCGATGTCTCCGTCGTCGTCAAGGGACACGCCTTCAAGGTAATAACGCTTATTTAAAGGTCACCTATTATACAAAATCCACTTCTTCATGTCTTTTCTACATCAACATGTGTCCCCTCTTCTTCATGTCTCTTCTACATCAACATGTGTCCCCTCTTCTTCATGTCTCTTCTACATCAACATGTGTCCCCTCTTCTTCATGTCTCTTCTACATCAACATGTCCCCTCTTCTTCATGTCTCTTCTACATCAACATGTGTCCTCTCTGTGGAAAGAGACTCTCTTTAAAGTAGAGACACTACATACTGATATACACCTGAACATCAGCAGGAGAGCACTCTTTAAAGTAGAGACACTACATACTGATATACACCTGAACATCAGCAGGAGAGGACTCTTTAAAGTAGAGACACTACATACTGATATACACCTGAACATCAGCAGGAGAGGACTCTTTAAAGTAAAGACACTACATACTGATATACACCTGAGCATCAGCAGGAGAGGACTCTTTAAAGTAGAGACACTACATACTGATATACACCTGAACATCAGCAGGAGAGGACTCTTTAAAGTAGAGACACTACATACTGATATACACCTGAACATCAGCAGGAGAGGACTCTTTAAAGTAGAGACACTACATACTGATATACACCTGAACATCAGCAGGAGAGGACTCTTTAAAGTAGAGACACTACATACTGATATACACCTGAACATCAGCAGGAGAGGACTCTTTAAAGTAGAGACACTACATACTGATATGAAGCTGAAAAGCAGCATTGTCTTAACAACTATAAAATTATCTCAAAATATAAAATGAAAGCTTGAAAAGCAGAAGCCGTAAAAATAATATTTTTTATATTGACTTTTTCAAACACGGTAAAGGAGTTCGATTTGGAATCAAAACTGTGAAAGAAAGACGTTTTTAAAAATGCCTCTTTCATGTTTTTGCAGATATGTCCTTGTGTTTAAACAACCTGCTTGGGAAAGGTTTACTTTATCAATAGTTCATTGGCCCTGAAGGAGGTTTAGTGAAACCTGCAAGGTGAAGATATCGACAAGATTTTTGTGAAAATCTATTGTTAGGAGAGGGAAATATGACCCGGGTCAAACTGAGCAGAGTCACACAGTCCTCAAGCCACATCTCTCACACAGGGGATACATCTCTGCCCGTTCAATACAGTTTCAGTACGGCTACAATTAGATATTTAGACTTGAGTTTACTGTAATGAGGAAATAAGTCGTTTGCAGTTTGATATAATTGACATGATAAAAAAACTATAACTACTTAACTTTGGTTTCTCACTTTATTATAACTGCACACTCACATGCTTGTGGAGTTTACATGTACCCCAATCAGCTCATGTTATCGACTCAAGGTTCAAGGCTTTTATTGGTCATGTGTACATAGCTACAGTGTAGTTATGACGATGGCAATCTGAGGTCACAGGCCCCTCCAACAGTGCAACACAATAAAACAGATAAACTGAAAAAGAAATAGTGCAAGTAAATACAAAAAGTGAAATAGTGCATTATAGACTACACTTCGCACTTCTATTAGCTAACGCTCCAACATATTGTAAACGTGATAAGGGGCGGGACATCTTTAAGATTAAGTATTTTATTCCAGCGTGAATGAAATGGCGACACACTGGTCTTTTTTGGATTTAGGGAGGGAGGGTACATTAGGGAAGACCAAGAACACTGTAGTCAGAGCGTTCGATTTTACCTTGCTCTCTCTCTCCTGGTGTTTCCCCCTCATGACCCCTCTCTCTCTCCTGGTGTTTCCCTCTCATGACCTCTCTCTCTCCTGGTGTTTCCCCCTCATGACCCCTCTCTCTCTCCTGGTGTTTCCCCCTCATGACCCTCTCTCTCTCCTGGTGTTTCCCCCTCATGACCCCTCTCTCTCTCCTGGTGTTTCCCTCTCATGACCCCTCTCTCTCTCCTGGTGTTTCCCCCTCATGACCCCTCTCTCTCTCCTGGTGTTTCCCTCTCATGACCCCTCTCTCTCTCTCTCCTGGTGTTTCCCTCTCATGACCCCTCTCTCTCTCCTGGTGTTTCCCTCTCATGACCTCTCTCTCTCTCCTGGTGTTTCCCTCTCATGACCCCTCTCTCTCTCCTGGTGTTTCCCCCTCATGACCTCTCTCTCTCCTGGTGTTTCCCTCTCACGACCCCTCTCTCTCTCTCCTGGTGTTTCCCCCTCATGACCTCTCTCTCTCCTGGTGTTTCCCTCTCATGACCCCTCTCTCTCCTGGTGTTTCCCCCTCATGACCTCTCTCTCTCCTGGTGTTTCCCTCTCATGACCCCTCTCTCTCTCTCCTGGGTGTTTCCCCCTCATGACCCCTCTCTCTCCTGGTGTTTCCCTCTCATGACCCCTCTCTCTCTCTCCTGGTGTTTCCCCCTCATGACCCCTCTCTCTCCTGGTGTTTCCCTCTCATGACCCCTCTCTCTCCTGGTGTTTCCCCCTCATGACCCCTCTCTCTCTCCTGGTGTTTCCCCCTCATGACCTCTCTCTCTCCTGGTGTTTCCCCCTCATGACCCCTCTCTCTCCTGGTGTTTCCCTCTCATGACCCCTCTCTCTCCTGGTGTTTCCCCCTCATGACCCCTCTCTCTCTCCTGGTGTTTTCCCCCTCATGACCTCTCTCTCTCCTGGTGTTTCCCCCCTCATGACCCCTCTCTCTCCTGGTGTTTCCCCCTCATGACCCCTCTCTCTCTCCTGGTGTTTCCCTCTCACGACCCCTCTCTCTCTCCTGGTGTTTCCCTCTCACGACCCCTCTCTCTCTCCTGGTGTTTCCCTCTCATGACCCCTCTCTCTCTCTCCTGGTGTTTCCCTCTCATGACTGCTCTCTCTCCTGGTGTTTCCCCCCTCATGACCCCTCTCTCTCCTGGTGTTTCCCCCTCATGACCACTCTCTCTCCTGGTGTTTCCCCCTCATGACCACTCTCTCTCCTGGTGTTTCCCCCTCATGACCTCTCTCTCTCCTGGTGTTTCCCCCTCATGACCTCTCTCTCTCCTGGTGTTTCCCCCTCATGACCCCTCTCTCTCTCCTGGTGTTTCCCTCTCTTGACCCCTCTCTCTCCTGTTGTTTCCCTCTCATGACCCCTCTCTCTCTCCTGGTGTTTCCCCCTCATGACCTCTCTCTCTCCTGGTGTTTCCCTCTCATGACCCCTCTCTCCTGGTGTTTCCCTCTCATGACCCCTCTCTCTCTCCTGGTGTTTCCCTCTCATGACCCCTCTCTCTCTCTCCTGGTGTTTCCCTCTCATGACCCCTCTCTCTCTCCTGGTGTTTCCCCCTCATGACCCCTCTCTCTCCTGGTGTTTCCCCCCTCATGACCCCTCTCTCTCTCCTGGTGTTTCCCTCTCATGACCCCTCTCTCTCTCCTGGTGTTTCCCTCTCATGACCCCTCTCTCTCTCCTGGTGTTTCCCCCTCATGACCCCTCTCTCTCTCCTGGTGTTTCCCTCTCATGACCCCTCTCTCTCTCCTGGTGTTTCCCTCTCATGACCCTCTCTCTCTCCTGGTGTTTCCCCCTCATGACCCTCTCTCTCTCCTGGTGTTTCCCCCTCATGACCTCTCTCTCCTGGTGTTCCCCCCTCAGGCCCACCGTGCGGTGCTGGCGGCTAGCAGCTCGTACTTCAGGGACCTGTTCAACGCGGGGGGGAAGAGCTCGGTGGTGGAGCTGCCCCCTGCTGTGCAGCCGCAGAGCTTCCAGCAGATCCTGGCCTTCTGCTACACGGGACGCCTCAGCATGAACGTGGGAGACCAGTTCCTGCTAATGTACACCGCCGGATTCCTGCAGATACAACAGATCATGGAGAAAGGAACAGAGTTTTTCCTCAAGGTAAGTTGATGATGAAGCAATTAAACAGAAACGAGCAATTAAAGGTTGAATGCATGTGTGTAATGTCAGAGATTCAAATGATTGATGGGTGGTTGGTTGTTGCCAATGAAAATCTGAAGTCTCAGGCTCCTCCAATAGTGCAACATACAAGAAACTTGAAACCATAGAAAAGTACAGTCGTCCAAGAAAATAGTGCAAGCATAAATAACGATTCACCAATTCCCAAACTGTTGTTACTCTTCTTACATTGAAAATGGATGCTAAAGCATTCATAAACAACGATTTAACGATTTTAATAGAAATGCACCAATTACACATTTCTTGACCGATTCCAATTTTTCTGCCATTTATTTGAAGGAATCTATCGGAGAGCAATCACATTTTTTCTCCTTTTTTTTTTAATCCAAAAGTAAATGTCATTGTGTTCATAATAAAGAAAATTGACCATTAGGTAACTTGCATGTTTCCTAAACTGCGCTAAGTTACGAGACCTTCTTGTTGTCCATTATTATCTGTTTTTAAAGTTGTTCCTCAAAGGTTAATGTTGGACTTGCATGTGTTACAAATTGCGAGCTTAAACAGGGTGTCCGCGGGGTCTTAAAATGTATTAAAAGTTGATAAATCAATTTAGCGAAAATGAAGGCTATTAAAAAGTATTAAACGGCATTTTCCAAGGTATTACATTTTGTAGCTTGTTTTCAATAAGTATATAAATTGTCCAAAGAGGTTGTATTCTACAGTGTGCCTGAATGTAATCATTGCGTAGGTGTGTGGTGTGATTCTGTGTAGTTTATTTATGGCATCCCGTTGGATTTGACGTCATCTGAACAGGACATCGCGCGCTCACTGCTTGATAGCGCGCGAAGGTCCGTTTACGCCGGTTGTTAAACAACATCGTTATGGGGAAATGCAAGTCTGCGTCCAAATGGTTGGAAGATAAGGAGGAAGGACAATCAATACTGTATATAGTCAATGTGAGGTAAAGTGTGTCGCCAATGTAACCGGTTAAAACTCAACGTGGCGATGAGGTCTTAAAATGTATGGAAAGGGTCTTAAAAAAGGTCTTCAAAGGTCTTACATTTGACTTCAGGATTCCTGCATATACCCTGAGAAAGTCTTCTTCACTCGCGCTGAATAACTTCTACTCTAACGACATTATGTGTGTGTGGCTGTGACGCAGTGTGTGTAAACTGAGTATGGAAACGTGTCACAGTAGAGACACGTAATACTGATATACACCTGAAAATCAGCATAATAGGGCCTCTTATAAATAGTAAAAATGCATAGGAATGATACTATATGCGTAAAAAGTCCTTTGCATAATTTGCAATAAATTATCCAGGCATGAATAAAGTGGGAGCTGCTGCCATGGCACCTGTTGTGTGACATTATGTGTGACATTATGCATGGCATTGGGGGGCGTCAGTGTTTGTAGACACGTTCTTGTGACTGAAAAATAATTAAAGGATCGCGCTGCCACTACAGGTTCCCTCTATAGTAGCAGATGATCTGATTAGGTCTGGATTGCCTTGCTGCACACATTTACATATTAACGAGCAAAGCTGATTTCCTAAAAAAGTAACTCCAGACACAGAGGTGGTGTGGTACCAAATGTGTGTTACGTGAAGTACGTTAGATTACAGTATTTACTCAGGATGTGTTAAGAGTTTGGCTTCTTTGGCGAGCCACCAACGATCAATGGGAAAATACTTTTAATGTAAAAAATATAACATGTTGAGCTTGTACAAGCTTACCTTTGTACAAAAGCAGGACAACTTTCCTGTAATGTGTTATATAGGTTTTAGTGCATGTAAATGGTCTGCAAAGACTACATCCCTGTGTGACTGGGCTCTGGTTTCAGACAGAGGGTGAAAAGAGGTGCTGCAGCACAGGCAGCATGAGAAAAATAAAGAGCTTTTTTGAACATTAAAGCATGGAGACATGTCCCAGTAGAGACACTACATACTGATATAGTATACACCTGAGAATGAGAACAATATGTCCTCTTTAAGATAACAAGCCGCAAGTGTTATAAGAAGAAGCTTTACCTAAAATAGATTATCTAAAATTAGCCAGAGGCATCGAATATCCGTCGCATTCTCCTGAATACCTGGAGGGGATTTGTTCAGTTTTGCACAAACGTCCTTGTGGACTCAAGGATGAATAGATAGTAATTTGATGATCAAAGGTCACTGTTAACTCACGTAAACATTTTTGGGGGCATTCATTAATAAATGTCTAAATACAGAAGGATTCAATGAGGAAGTGAGGACATTTTGGGCAGACGGATCATTTGACTGCTTAATTAAGTGTAATTCTGGAACTATCTGATCATACAATAGGTGTAAGATTATAAATATACCAAGATCTTCGATGCCAAATATTAGTACTCCACTACTAATGCACTAGTGTCCATTCTGAATGCTTCGGACACATTTCCGTTGATCCCAGTCCTGCTGAATATGGAAAACAATAACATTTACAAACCTGCAAAGACACGAGATGATGGTGCATTGTGTATATATTCATTATGATTACTTATTCTTTATTAGGATACCCATTAGCGCTAGCATGAACATTGGCTATGCTTCCTGCGGTCCACACACACACACACACACACACACACACACACACACACACACACACACACACACACACACACACACAGTCAAACATACATAAAACAAAACAGCTCCTCATTTCATGCAATTTACAATGCTATATGAAGTGGAAACTAAAATGGTCATCCAATTTTAGCCATCATAAGGCCAAACAAAAAAATACAAATAAGTGTACATAATACATACATAGCCACAGTTCAATTATACTTTAAATACTGAGATAATTTTTTAGCAACCCTTTGAATTGTACATGAGAATTTTCATGAATGATATTGTTGTGAAAATACTGAATGTACTATTCCAATGTGAGAGTAACATGATAACAAAGGTATCCCAACTGTAGCTGTGTACATGACAGGATGTATGATTACCTAGAAGAGCAGCAGGACTGTTTGAGGCATATGATAGCTATGTGATTAACATGATGATTCAGCCTCTATGGAGATAGACATATGACAAGCATGATCATTTCTGACGTGGAGCTAATCTGAAGTAAACATTGAATACTGCTTTCTATTCCTCCATCTTGTGACTGTGTAACTCCCTCTCTTGGATATCAGCATGTGAAGGACACTGTTCAGGAACTAGTTGATGCTCTGTGTGTGATGACTACTTCCATTCTTGAGAGGATCACAAATACATGGATCCTGAGATTGAAGCTCAAGCCGGGGACCAGTGATTCAAGTATTCAGAAAAAGACAGAATTTTGGAAAAAAAGTCAGGATTTTGAGATTTTGAGTAAAAAGTCAGGATTTTGAGAAAAATACAGAATTTTAGAGAGTCCGAATTTTGAGAAAGTCAGATTTTTTAGATTTTCAGTAAAAAGCCGGTGACGAGTGATTATTAACATTTTAAGTATTCAGAAAAAGTCTGGATTTTGAGAAAAAGTCAGACTTTTCTCAAAAAGTCTAAGAATTTTGCGATTTTGAGAAAAAGTAAGAATTTTGCGATTTTGAGAAAAAGTAAGAATTTTGCGATTTTGAGGAAAAGTCAGAATTTTCAGAAAAAGTCAGATTTGTTGAGATTGTGAGAAAAAGTCCGAATGTTGAGATTTTGAGAAAGAATTTTGAGAAAGTCAGAATTTTTAGATTTTGAGAAAGAATTTGGAGAAAAAGTCAGAATTTTGAGAAAAAGTCAGAATTTTGAGAAAAAGTCAGAATTTTGAGAAAAAGTCAGAATTTTGAGAAAAAGTCAAAATTTTGAGAAAAAGTCATGTTGAGATTTTGAGAAAAAAGCCAACATTTTGAGAAAAAAACTCAGTATTTTGTACATGACGGGATGTATGATTACCTACTAGAACCATTATTCCTCCATTTATGTGATGACTGGTTATGTGATGACCATTCTTGAGAGGATCATAAATACATGGATCCTGATTATTGAAGCTCAGATATGGACTGGTAAAGAATTTCAGCTGAATAAATAATGAACTTCCCCTCCAGGTGTCCTCTCCGAGCTGTGACTCTCAGGGTCTCCACACCGAAGAGACCCCCACATCAGAGCCCCAGAGCCCCGTCACTCAGACGATGGGAGGAGGCGTTGCTCCTTCAGCTGTGAGACCCTCTTCCTGTCTCACTCCCCTCTCTCTGGTGTCCAAAGTGAAGACAGAACAGATGGCCTCCACACCACAGCCACAGCAGGTAGGACGTCGCTAACAATCCTGAAATAAGCAAAGTGTTGCATTGATGAAGTTGTGCAGGGATGGCGTCCTTTTGTAGGCTGACCCCTCCACAAAAAGTCAATTGGATTTCTTGATGTGATTTTTGGATTATAACAGAAAATAATCTCTGTGGCAAACAAACATTTAATTTATGATGATAATCTCCACATATTAACACCACGATTTCTGAAGTAAAAAGCTAACGTTGGGCCATAAAGGAACTACAGCACGGTCACATGACTTCACGTCACCACCGCTAAGCTAAAGGTGGCTAATGTTGGGCTATAAAGGAACTACAGCACGGTCACATGACTTCACGTCACCACCGCTAAGCTAAAGGTGGCTAATGTTGGGAAGTTTCTGCATACATTAGATTAATCTCTGCATTGTTTAGTATTAAAATAGTTTACATTTGTTAGTGCGTTGTTTGTTATTGTTTATTTCAGAGTTGTTTACAGATAAAGGTAAATAAACCAGTGTTTCTCTCTCAGCAGGAGGGCTCTCCCTACTCGGTGGTCTGCACCCCTGTTGCTAAGCGACTGTGGGAGGGGAGTAACCGTGACAGCGGCGGGGGCGGCGGCATGAGGAAGAACGCTCGCTACTCAACATCCTCCTCCTCGTCCTCCTCCTCCAACAACTTTACCCAGGATGCATCTGGGCGCGTACCTACAGCTAACGCCGCCATGATGGGTGGAAACGGTGTTGCCACTTCAATGGGAGGAGCCGTTATCAACAGTAACCACAACAACCATAACAACAACAACAACAATAACTTAAACGGCGGGACCCCCGATGGAACAAGCCCTGGCACGCTGAGCGTGTACACCAGCGACTCGCCAATTAGTTACCATGAAGACGAGGAAGAGGACGACGTGGTGGACGAGTGCGCCGAAGAACAGTACCGACAAATCTGCAACATGTACACCATGTACAGCATGTTGAACGCTGGGGCAGCAGGTGAGAACTGGTTCATTTCTACTTTAAAGAGTCCTCTCCTGCTGATGTTCAGGTGTATATCAGTATGTAGTGTCTCTACTTTAAAGAGTCCTCTCATGCTGATGTTCAGGTGTATATCAGTATGTAGTGTCTCTACTTTAAAGAGTCCTCTCCTGCTGATGTTCAGGTGTATATCAGTATGTAGTGTCTCTACTTTAAAGAGTCCTCTCCTGCTGATGTTCAGGTGTATATCAGTATGTAGTGTCTCTACTTTAAAGAGTCCTCTCCTGCTGATGTTCAGGTGTATATCAGTATGTAGTGTCTCTACTTTAAAGAGTCCTCTCCTGCTGATGTTCAGGTGTATATCAGCATGTAGTGTCTCTACTTTAAAGAGTCCTCTCCTGCTGATGTTCAGGTGTATATCAGTATGTAGTGTCTCTACTTTAAAGAGTCCTCTCCTGCTGATGTTCAGGAGAGGATGTGTGGAAGAGTAACTCCCTCTGAAGTAGGGTTGGGAACCGAAACTCGGTTCCAGATGAGAAACGATAAGAAAATGCAGGGTACCGTAGGGCTGTGCGATTATGGCAAAAATCATAATCACGATTATTTGGGTCAATAATTGATATCACGATTATTAAATACGATTATTCATTGACTTTGAAAACATCCATTTATTGAACTTTAAAACAAATAAAAATAATAATTTGAACAGTATCTTTTTAACTGTTGATTACCCTGAACGTATAATTCAACTGAAAAACCAATACAAAAATAAATGATACATTTAAATAAATAATATCAAAATAATAAATACCAATAAACAAGATCAACAAATATTTTGGAGCGCACTTCCACAAGCTACTAAACATATGTAAATATGATAAATACAAATAAATGAGACCAAAATAAATGAGATCAAATATGTTGCACTGTCACAACCTAGCAAAGCAAAATAATTGTTTTTTTCGATTATGTTGTTTTCGTAATTGTGGCAGGCCAAAATCGTGATTGCGATTAAAATACGATTAATTGCACAGCCCTAGGGTACCGGGTACCCATACAAAATACACAATTTCGGTTCTGCTTAACGGTTCCTAAACGCGGTAGACCCTGTATTCCACCGGGTCCGTCTGCGCCGCGGTGACCCGGTGGAATACAGGGTAAGGGCGGACTGGCCATCTAGGTGTTCTGGAGAATCACAGAACGGCCGGTCGTCAGCGGGCCGTTGACGGCCGGCTCGGTTCGCTGACGGCCTTAATGCTTTTTAAACGGCATCATGTAAGTTGCGGCGACAGAGGTCCACAGTTTCCCCGCAGCGAGACTCCTCCCGTAGACAGTTCACGAGCTCAGTCACTTCATAACACCACAGATGGATGGCGGTAAACGCTCTAAAGTGAGGCTCCACTACACTAAAAAAGAAAAAGACAAGGCACAGTGTAATGCCTGTTAATAGCTTGCCACAGGCTCAGTTAAAATAAAGCACAGCTATTGTGCAATACATTTGTATTGCATGTATATTTTTTATTTGTAAAAATGTCAGTTAAAGCTTAAAAGAATAAAGATATTTTTGTTATCTAAACGTTTGACCTCTTTCTTTTACAATTTTGGAATCGAAACGGGGAATCGATAAGAACCGGAATCGATAAGAACCGGAATCGATAAATTTCAAACGATACCCATCCCTACTCTGAAGGGAACAAAGGGATTGAAGCCTTTGCAGACCATTTACATGCACTTAAATCTATATAACACACTATAGGAAAGGGAAAACCCCCAAACAGCAGAACAGGGCCTTTTTAATGTTGAATACGTCCTTTCCCTGGTTTCAAAGCTGCATTACAGTAAACTGGGAAAAGGACAAACTGTTCTAGCTTTTCAATCTAGTGACTATACCCCTGTCGTCATTATACAATACAATATTGTCTCTATTATTGGCTATTTAATCAAAAACGTTACTGATTTTCACCATATTCTTATTTATTGAATTAAGAGGATGATCAGATAGTAGTTTGGCTATACAGATGTTTCATCAACAGTTCAGTTGGAGAGAAGATTTTGCTCCAGTAGTTTAGCACAAACAGCATTTTAAAGAGTTTGGGGCCCTTAAGGTTCAGGAGGATAATAATAATACATTTTATTTTTATAGCACACTTTAAAAACGTCATCTCAAGGTGCTTCACAATGCTATGAGGAGAAAATACAATAAAATAAAAAGTTATCTGAGGAACATATTGAATGAAATATGGTAATATAAAAAAGAGCATAGTCCCTCACACTCTTCAAATCCCGCCTAAAATCAATCCATGTCCGTAGATTGTCTTTGTTTGTCCTTGTTTGTTTGTACTCCCCCAACCCTCCTGTTTTATATTGCAAAGCGACTTTGAGTCAGAGAAAAGCGCTATATAAATACAATGTATTATTATTTAGAACTGAGGACCTTCCTCTGGATCCAAACGTGTCTCCACTGACCTGCGACTGAATCATAGATTAAAATCTCTAATTCCAGCTGACTAAAGTGAGAGTAAAACACTTTAGTCAGTGCACTAAATGATCTTAATGCATGAATGGAGACGAAGCAGCACGCGATGCAGAGTTGGAGAGAGGAGAGAGGCCTTCTACACACACTTGTGAATTATCTCACTTGCATCACGGCTAAAAGTAGAGCAGGCTTTTTCTGTTGGATGACGTTTGTTATGGAAAAGTTAACAAGGTTTCTGGGTAGGAGGCTAAGTGCTAAGTCTGGAAGATGTGATGCAATTTGTGTCATTAGCACATTTATTAATAACAATAACTTAAGTTGAGCTAAACCGCAATTTAAGTGAGTTTCTAAAAGTTATTTTTGGGGGAATTGGAAGTTTCCACCCAGAACACTTTATGTAAATAACTTTTAATTAGCTATAATGGTATATGGATGATAATTCAACTGTGCAAAAATAATCATTATTTAAAGGGGACCTATCATGCAAAATGCACTTGTTGATGTCTTTTAAACATAAAGATGTGTCCCCGGTGTGTCAGGGAACTCGCGCAGCGTCAGAAAATAAAACCCTCTCTCTTTTCCTCCGTACCCAAATCTCTAAAAACGGGGGAACAACGGAGCTGATCCAGATTTGCGTCCGATATGACGTAATATCTGAAATGTGGACCCACGGCCCTATCAGAAAGTTGCTATCAGAAACAATGCCCGACTGTTTTGGACGTAATATGGTCGGTGTTTACATTAGCATCGCTAACACTCAGAGCTAACCTGTACTGGAGAGCATGTGTGTGAAGAAGCAGGAAATAAAAAGGAACTCACCTTGTGGTATAACCGGCAAGAGAGAAAGCCTTTGAGCTCCATACTGTTTCAGAAAGAATCCTTGATAATCCATGATATGGCGTTTCATCACGGCAGCATTTAGTTTAGACAGTAGCTGCCGGGTCCCGCATGAGCTCAGACCCCTCCTTTTTAAAGCTTTATACCCAAATCAGCACTTTTGAAACAGGAAGTGAAATAGAGGGATATGAGGCATGGCTAGAATGATCTGTTTGGTGTTTTGAGCAAAACACTTCATAGACATGTTTTTTATATATTTGAGACCTATGCTATCGCCTAAAAATAGCATGATAGGTGACCTTTAAATATAAACTATTTTGACAATTCTGGTTTTTCATTGAACCAATTTTCTTGATCTTTAACATTTGAGAAATGTGTTTTTATTTTTTAAATGTTTTGTCTTAATTGTAAGTAAATTGTATTCTATTATCTAACAACAAAACAAACTCTGAATGTAAGTAAAAAAACAACCCTAAAATCCCCCCTTTTCCCTCCTCAGTGGTTGGTGAGCGGGTGGAGGCTCTCCCAGACTTACCCCCTGACTCCGGTAACGGGCGGGGGGGCAGAGGTGCTCGGGCCCGGCAGGATCTGGCCTCGCTCCCCGCAGAACTCATCAGTCAGATCGGGAACCGCTGCCACCCCAAGATGTACGAGGAGGGCGACCCGGCGGAGAAGCTGGAGCTGGTGAGCGGCACCTCGGTGTTCATCTCCCGCGCTCAGCTGATGAACTGCCACGTGAGCGCAGGGACGAGACACAAAGTGCTGCTGAGACGCCTGCTGGCCGCCTTCTTCGACAGGTCAGTGATCAACATGTAGTCCAACTTATATTGGGTAGAGTGTAGTAACAGGTATGTGTGTGTCAGTGGGTGGGGGATAGAAAATAATAAATGGTGCATTCTCAGATTTGGGAAGTCGTCCTTTTGACTTTGGTGTGTTCATGAACGGACGCTTAAAAAGTACGTGTAGGTAATAAAAACATGATATAATAATACTGTGAAGTACATTTAGCTCATTATGCTTCTGTACTTCTAAATAAGTAATGCTTTGAAATCAGGACTTTTATTTACTAATGGAGTATTTTAAGTCAATAGTATTTATACTTTTTCTTAAGTTGGAGTTGGAGGCTGGTTCTTCTGACTTTGGTTCGTTAATAAGATTTAAGTCCTAACGTGGAAACAGAATGGATCCTTCACGGCCCCTACACACGGCGGCGTGCGTTGAAGCTTCAAAAGTAGAGCAATGTTCTACTTTTGAAGCTTCGACGGAAGCGTCAGCCAATCAAATCCCATTTATGCAAATCTGCCAGTACAAGCGCTAGCCAATCAAACCGCGTGTATGCTGGGAGAGCCATAGCCATAGAGGTCATTTCCTCATGTTCCAAAAAATGGAGGACAAAATCATTGTAGCGGTAGGGAATCACCCGGTGCTTTCAGTCCCTGTTCACCTACCGGGATACAAACCGGAGGAGCCAGGCATGGAGGGAGGTGGCAGAGACAGTGGGTGAACCTGGTAGGTTTACACCTGTTTGGGGAGTTTATATCCAGTGTACTTCGTTTGAATGGACAGCAGGCATAGACAGTATTTAGCCAGCATGGAATGTTGCATAAAATAGCACCATAGACATTAATGTCATAAATGTTCATCATATAAAGTGTGACATGTAATTATATAATAACATGAGATTCATGTGATTGGTTGTTCAGGTGTATATCAGTATGTAGTGTCTCTACTTTAAAGAGTCCTCTCCTGCTGATGTTCAGGTGTATATCAGTGTGTAGTGTCTCTACTTTAAAGAGTCCTCTCCTGCTGATGTTCAGGTGTATATCAGTATGTAGTGTCCCTACTTTAAAGAGTCCTCTCCTGCTGATGTTCAGGTATATATCAGTATGTAGTGTCTCTACTTTAAAGAGTCCTCTCCTGCTGATGTTCAGGTGTATATCAGTATGTAGTGTCTCTACTTTAAAGAGTCCTCTCCTGCTGATGTTCAGGTGTATATCAGTATGTAGTGTCTCTACTTTAAAGAGTCCTCTCCTGCTGATGTTCAGGTGTATATCAGTATGTAGTGTCTCTACTTTAAAGAGTCCTCTCCTGCTGATGTTCAGGTGTATATCAGTATGTAGTGTCTCTACTTTAAAGAGTCCTCTCCTGCTGATGTTCAGGTGTATATCAGTATGTAGTGTCTCTACTTTAAAGAGTCCTCTCCTGCTGATGTTCAGGTGTATATCAGTATGTAGTGTCTCTACTTTAAAGAGTCCTCTCCTGCTGATGTTCAGGTGTATATCAGTATGTAGTGTCTCTACTTTAAAGAGTCCTCTCCTGCTGATGTTCAGGTGTATATCAGTATGTAGTGTCTCTACTTTAAAGAGTCCTCTCCTGCTGATGTTCAGGTGTATATCAGTATGTAGTGTCTCTACTTTAAAGAGTCCTCTCCCGCTGATGTTCAGGTGTATATCAGTATCTAGTGTCTCTACTTTAAAGAGTCCTCTCCCGCTGATGTTCAGGTGTATATCAGTATGTAGTGTCTCTACTTTAAAGAGTCCTCTCCCGCTGATGTTCAGGTGTATATCAGTATGTAGTGTCTCTACTTTAAAGAGTCCTCTCCTGCTGATGTTCAGGTGTATATCAGTATGTAGTGTCTCTACTTTAAAGAGTCCTCTCCTGCTGATGTTCAGGTGTATATCAGTATGTAGTGTCCCTACTTTAAAGAGTCCTCTCCTGCTGATGTTCAGGTATATATCAGTATGTAGTGTCTCTACTTTAAAGAGTCCTCTCCTGCTGATGTTCAGGTGTATATTAGTATGTAGTGTCTCTACTTTAAAGAGTCCTCTCCTGCTGATGTTCAGGTGTATATCAGTATGTAGTGTCTCTACTTTAAAGAGTCCTCTCCTGCTGATGTTCAGGTGTATATCAGTATGTAGTGTCCCTACTTTAAAGAGTCCTCTCCTGCTGATGTTCAGGTATATATCAGTATGTAGTGTCTCTACTTTAAAGAGTCCTCTCCTGCTGATGTTCAGGTGTATATCAGTATGTAGTGTCTCTACTTTAAAGAGTCCTCTCCTGCTGATGTTCAGGTGTATATCAGTATGTAGTGTCTCTACTTTAAAGAGTCCTCTCCTGCTGATGTTCAGGTGTATATCAGTATGTAGTGTCTCTACTTTAAAGAGTCCTCTCCTGCTGATGTTCAGGTGTATATCAGTATGTAGTGTCTCTACTTTAAAGAGTCCTCTCCTGCTGATGTTCAGGTGTATATCAGTATGTAGTGTCTCTACTTTAAAGAGTCCTCTCCTGCTGATGTTCAGGTGTATATCAGTATGTAGTGTCTCTACATGTCTCCATGCTTTAATGTTCAAAAAGCTTCCTGTGCTGCAGCACCTCTTTTCACCCTCTGTCTGAAACCAGAGCTCAGTCTGCTCTGATTGGTTAGCTGGCCGGCTCTGTTGTGATTGGTCAACCGCTTAGAGATGTCCCGCCCCTTAGCCTATCACGTACAATGTGTTGGAGCGCTAGCCAATAGAAGGGTTGTTCTGATTATACCCTTACACATGAATGCAGAACATTTTCCCCATTTCTCTGAATGTTATCAAAAATAAAACATGATATGTGTCGTGGCCCTGTTACTCTGATCTGCTCCAAAAGGTAATATCTTCGTCCTTATGACCCGTGATACAACCTTCTACCAAGTTCCAGAAAAAGAGTTCCCCGTAAATCTGCTGACTAACGCACAGAAAAAACATGCCAACAGAAAACCCCCTGGTTGGCAGAGGTGGAGAGAGAGCACTATATACGCTGCAGTGAATTATAGACTGAACCTCCGTGAGAGTCAATACATCCGGCTCTGAATCAATGTCTGCTCACAACCTGCTGAGCTCTGGAAATCCGGCCTTTGAACAAAATTGTGTATCTCGGTTCTCACAGAAAGGGCATGTTTTTAGAAGTATCAAAAACAATCTGTGTAATATTTTAAATAAGTACCTTTTTCTATCTGTTATTCTTCCCTTGCTCAGGAGCACTCTGGCTAACAGCTGTGGAACCGGCATCCGCTCTTCAACCAACGACCCCAGCCGGAAACCTCTGGACAACAGAGTGCTGCACGCTGTCAAATGTGAGTCGCACACACACACGCACACACACACACACATCTCAGGCACATTTTTGAGCTGTCAGCATGCAAAGTTAGCAGCTTTGAAATGTACCTTTTACATGGTCAATTAACCGAAATGTAATGAAAAATGAAAAAAGGATTATTCCATTATTAAAATTGCAGGACGCGCAATACGTTTTACAGGCCTTATTATATCTGAATTAAGGATGAAGGTGCTGCAGAAATGTCCCGGCCTAGAAAATGTATTCTCCGGAATAAATAAAATATATTTTAGTATAGATCCTAGTTATATTTCAACCACATTTTTTTTTGTTATTGGCATTTAGTGTCAAACATTATCACAGCATATTGTACATTGCATCTTTACATGAATGACATCCATCTGTTCATAGTTCTTTTCAGCAATATACACATGATGTGCTGCCCTATTTGAAAACACCTCACTATTCCTCCAGAACTTTGTGCCGAGCTTCAAGGAGAGCGAGATATCTGTCTAAATAAAATATATTTTAGTTTGAGTTTAAATGTCCCCAAAACTGTGCAGCCCTATTTCAAAACACCTCACTATCCACTTGCTTTTTCTGTTCGTTTATCATTATCTTACGAGTTGTTTTTCCCCCCCTCTTCCTCCAGTCTACTGCCAGAACTTCGCTCCGAGCTTCAAGGAGAGCGAGATGAACGCCATCGCGGCCGACATGTGCACCAACGCCCGGCGCGTGGTGCGAAAGAGCTGGATCCCCAAACTGAAGCTGCTGATGGCCGACAGCGACGCCTACTCCGCCTTCCTGGCCGACAGCGTGAAGATGGAGGCCGACGCGCTGGGGGCGGAGCCTGGCTTTGACCCCGCCTCCTTAGAAGCAGTCGCTGCAGCGGCGGCGGCTGCAGCCAATCACATTGGAGCAGGAGGCGGAGCTACGCAAGCGGACAGCCTTCAGGTGGGAGGAGGGGACGGGAGCACTTTGTTTTGAGTGACAGATGGAGGACAGACTGACGACGACGACGAGTGGGAAATGGCGGTTGTTACGGTCGCCATTTTAGTTTTTTTTAGGGGAGATTTAATTCTTCTTCTTCTTCTTCTCCACCTCTCCCGCTTCTGCTTTCCCCTTCTTTGTGTGTGTGTGTCTCTCTAAACGGCCCAGAATGCATCACTTTGGGTTGTCCCTCCTTCCTTGAGAGATGGAAAGACTTAGAGAAAGGTAGCAGAGAGAAGAGGTAAACCCCCCCTTTACCTTTTCTCCCCTCTGCCACCTTTCCAGATTGTTATTACCCCTTTATTTTTTTATGTTTTTAAAAGTGTGTACCGTCACTGAGGCCCTTTTTCTTACCATAATCAGACATTCCCTGGGGAGGGCGGGTCGGGGAAGTCCAGTTCCTTCCCTAAACTCCGGTAACACTGTTGTTTTTTGATATTGAATGTATGCGTGGAGAAGAATCCGGACCGCAGCGTGGAGTCAGTGGAAGTTAAGTGAGTACAGAGGGGGGGTTTTTATATCTGTTTTTTCTTTATTTTGTCACTAAAGAGCACGGGATTGATGAGGTCAGAGGGTGAAATTAATATTGATTTGTATATTGGCACAGTTTATGATCTTCCTGACCTCCGCACTACCCCATATAACCTTTTTAACCCACGCCGGGCAATTGAGTTACCAGCTAAAAGAGCGTGGTTGCAGAAAGGAAAACTGATATTAGCTCGACTCACTTTTTTAAACCCTAAAACGTTAAAAAAGACCATTAGCAGTTTACATTTGTGATGTTTAAATTCTTGTTTTATATATGTGTGGGTGTTTTTGCCAAGCCTCCTGAAGGAGAGGACACTTGTTACCGATGATTGTCAAAGAGTTTTGCGCGTGATAAATGCACTGTGTTACTTCCTGTGGTACGAGTACAATCGACGCTTTTGTACGTATCGGAAAGAGAAGAAGGGGCGGGGCTTATTTAAGAAAAGGCAACGAAACATTTGAAAAAAATACGAGCTGAAATCCAATTGATATCTTTTTCAATCGCCCTTTTTTTGTTTTGATTTTAAAAGTCTGAAGGAAAGTCAAGGAATATCCATAAGCGAGTTTCTGCCTTGGAGCTTAGGAACAACTTGTGTGTGTGTGTGTGAGAGAGATGATGGAGCATTGTTCTTAGCTCGTATTTGAACTGTTTCCCGTTGAATAATAGCAGAAGTACTTTCCTCGGGCTCTGCTGCCGGGATGCGTGCTCGCCTGGCATGGACAAAGGTGCTAATTCAGGCATTGCTACATTGCTAGGAATACAGCTCTGAATGTGTGTGAGAGAGAGTGTGAGAGTGTGTGTGTGTGTGTGTGTGTGAGTGTGAGAGTGTGTGTGTGTGAGCCATGCAGCTTTGTGTGTGTGTGTGCTGCAGCAGAACACAGAGAGAGAGAGGAGGCCAGACGGTGTGTTTTCACACACGCTTGGTCGATTCATTCAACCATCACTGCGGTGAGCACACACACACACACACACACACACACACACACACACACACACACACACACACACACACACACACTCGCTAATACGCATTTGGGCGCTGTCAGCCGCAACAGTACACCAGAGCATCATGGGAATTAAAGGGGAATTACACTAAATGATGTCGGTCACATGTGGCACCTTAAATGTTTTGAATGGATCTGATCGACGGTTCATTTCCCCGGCTTTTAGTGAGATATTATAAAGAGAGATCTGCTGAATAAAGCTAATCACAGACACACGTCGGCATAGAAACAACCCTGGACGTCTTATTCTCCTTTCATACTTTGTGTGAAGCGTTCAGAAAACAAGAATACAGACGGAGATCTTTAGAAACACTGACCTCCACAACGGATCTACACACACGGAGAGATGTTCTTGTTCAGTCGAATACAGAAGCTCCAGGTGAACTCATTTTGACTTTAGTGCCACTGATTGCTCCTCAATACATTGGAAAACTCAAATCCTCATTACTGTATACTTCAGTTAGACCACACAGTCTTTCATCATAAGATCAATCCCACAGATCCCACATTAAAATCAATGAATAATGGTATGGAATTTAGCACGACAGGTTGATTATGTACGACAGCCATTTTAGTTTAAAGGGGACCTATCATGCAAAATGCACTTTTGCATGATAGGTCCCCTTTAAAGGAACCACATTCAACTTGATCTGACTCCTTTGGGAGGTTCTTCATATATTGTTCCTTTTGTATGGAAATATTAAGTGGCATTAACTTTCTAAATGTGTTGCATTGTCTCCGTTTGAGTGCAAAAATAATCCGATTCGAAACCCTGGGAAAGTCTTGAAAGATATTTGGGAATATTGATTTGTTTACACGTCATGGAGCCTTATTTCTGGAGTACAACAAGTAGACCCCCTGTGTTATTGTAGAAGAGCAGATTGACACACACACTATCCAAAGTGTCTGGAGGTCAAACCAGGTGTGTTTGCTCAGCAGTCAAAGTTCCTTAGTTTAAGAAAAGGGAACGCGTTGAGTTTTCATTTGAAAGTGAATCCCGCTGTAACATCCACATATCTAATTCTATATAATGTCATATCTGCCAGGACTGGCTACGAAATTCCCCCATATCGTATCGAAAAACCTTTTATATGCGTGATAATCTTGATTTACACTTTAAAGAAACATATTATAGCTTTATCTTGTTAAGTAGACACTGATAATCCTATTTTTTATGCATATTTGGCCTGTTTTTGGTGGGGGGGTTATTACCCTTCATTAAATGAGAATAAGCACCTTATTGTCAGCGAGGCACCTGACACACACACATACACACACACACATACATACACACACACACACACACACACACACACACACACACACACACACAGCTGTAGCTAAACGAAGCAGAAACGGCGCTACCCAAAATCTGAAACACCCGACGAAGAACCAAAAACAAACTGAACCTTTTGAAGGGGTCGTCTCACCTTTCTTGACCTGAACCCGTTTTGTAGTCCAGTGTTCTAAAATCTGCTTTCTACATCCTGGCCTTTTAAGGAATGATGTTTACTGTTCGTTTTTTTATATATATATTTACGTGTATATCAAGTTTTTTTTTATATATTTCTTTATAACGAGGCTATCGGTCAAAGACACGTTGGTCCTGAGACGAGAAAAGAGGCAACCCCACCCTCTTTTCTGTAGCACATGGTACGACCCGTGGAGACTTTACCAAGTTTATAACTGAGGACAGAGGAAGCATGAGGGAGGAAGGACCGAATAAAAGGATTGGGGGGAGGGGGGAGGAAGAGGGGGGAGATAGAGGAGACTGTTTGCACATGTTTTGTTTAAAAAATAATCTTTTTATTCCTTTGTTTGAAACCGCCGCCTTAAATGAGAAATTCCAAGATAAAGAGGGAAGAGTCAGTCTCCCTAAAGGGGGGTTTGGGGTGAATGCATGCATGCGTACGTGTGTGTCTGTGTGCTCGTTTGAGTGTGTGTGTGTGGTGGGTTTGGGGAGCTGTTTGTAAAGGCTTTGTGTGTGTGCATCTGTGAGCAAACATAATGTGTGTGTGTGTGGTGTGTGTGTGTGTGTGAGCAAACATGTGTGGGTGTGTTTTTATTGTGTGTGTGTGTGTGTGCATATTAATGTATGCAGCTTTTTTTCCCTCGCCTTTCGCTTCCCTCCATCTCCATTTATGGCATGTCAATGTCTGCCTCCTCACTTGAAAGAGCTTTTGACAGTGGTACAGTGAGTGTGTGCAAGTGTGTGTGTGAGAGAGTGTGTGTGAGAGTGTATAATGCGCATGCCTTTGCCAGGCTGGGTCTGCGTCTGGATCTATGTGCTGCATACGTGTGTCTGGCTTCATGCTGAGACTGCGCATGTCTGTCACAGTGTGTGGGTGCTCAGCTCTGCAAGGTCTCTGTGAGTGTGTGTGTGTGTGTGTGAGTGTGTGTGAGTGTGTGTGTGTGTGTGTGTGTATATGTATGTGAGAGTGGGTGGTATGTGCGGAGAGGTTGAAACGAGTGGCTGTTTGTTTTTGTCTGCTTCACTGAGCGCCATGCCTTTTTTCTCCCCACACACACACACACACACACACACACACACACACACACACACACACACACACACACACACACACACACACACACACACACACACACACACACCACATCTGCAGAGTCACATGTCCTCAGCAGTCCTCACTGTGCCGGATCAAAGGTGCAGATGGATTTGGTGGCTGCACCTCTTCTGTTTTTTCGACCCTTTTTCACATAAGAAACCGTTTAAATGCTAAACCGCTCTCACAGATCACTTCCGTACACTTTATTGTTTATGATTGCTTCCTGCTAACACACCCTGTCCTCCTGCACGGGACAGCTGTCACTAACACACCCTGTCCTCCTGCACGGGACAGCTGTCACCAGGACACTTTTTTTTTACCCTTCATTTCTTGAATTAAATGAAATGTCCTTTTATGCCCTCAGCCTGTCTTTCCTTTGTTTACATCTTTCTCTCTCTCTATGTATACATTCTTGCCTCCCTCCCCTTACTGTTTCCCTTTCTATTTCTCTCTCTCACACACACACACACACACACACACTCACACACTAAGGAGCTGAAAAGTGTCTGTCCCTTGTTGCTTCATTACGTAAACCATTTTCTATCCACCGCTGCTTCAATTGAATCGACTCCATTTTCTTCATAGAATGTAAATCCCTGCCAAACTCTCTCCTGTATATCTGAATCCCCCTGTGTGTGTGTGTGTGTGTGTGTGTGTGTGTGTGTCCATATGTGTGTGTGTGAGCATTTGCAGTCTACAACAACAGATTGCCAAATATGAAGCTGGATTTGTGGGAACACAAGTTATCGCATGCAAATATGCAGATGAGCGGCACATCTGACCAGGCACATTAATGTGTGTTTGAGAGTGTGTGTGTTTGTGTGTGTGTGTTTGTTTGTTTAAGTGTGTGTGTGTGTGTGCTGCCCGCCCCCTCTCATGGGACACTGTGTGATTTTTGTGTTTACTGCACCTTGTTAATAATCAGACGATTAATGAGGAAAGTATTTTGCTGCCCTGGACGAATCAAAACGTCAATATCAGACCTTAGGAAAAAAACGAGGCGAATATTGAGCAGACTGTTAAACTGAGTGGGCTTTAAATAATAATTGTAATCATCCCCGACTTGAGCAGTGAGAGAAGGAGGAGGAGGAGGAGGAGGTGGAGGTGGTGCTTCATTCTTCCTGAGGAGGAGATGTTTGTTAAGAATCTCCCAGGACAGATGAGGCATTGCGGCAGTCTGCCGTCACATGAGCGAAGCCACGATCCAGACAAAGAGTGAGAGGCTAATGACGGAGAGGAGGAAGAGGCGGGGGGGAGGATGAGGAGGAGGAGGAGGAGGAAGGAGAGGGAGGGGGTGATCGTCTCTCTCTGGCCCTGTGCCACCAAGATAAATACCTGGGTGCTCGTTCATTTATGCAGCACGGCATTTTGCAGAGGGGTGGGGTCCGTATTAGAGTTACCTGAATCCCTCAAAAAACGACCCCGGAACGATAAACGGGGAACAAAGACGTCTCAAACTTGGAAGAATAAGGAGTTTTGAAGTAGAAATTGCACTAAATGTCTGTAAAAGAGTGGAAAGACAGTCCCAGAAACACATTTGGCTGAACGTTGTACCCCACTGTCTGTTTTTAAGCACTGCGATATGATAATAATGTGAAGACATTGTGAGGAGGGGGTTTGGCCTAGTTGGAAGTCAGTTTGTCCGGCTGTTAGTGTGTGTGTGTGTGTTTTAATGTTGAACCCCAGGAAAAACAATGGGTTTTTATATTGGCAGAAGCCCTTTATTAAGGCGTAGTGTGCGTCTGCAGCATGTGTCGTATTACAGTGGTTCCCAACCTTTGGTGCACCTAAACAGGAACCAGCTCCATTGTACGAGCACATCCTTGGATGGTCCCATTTCCCCGCACGGTGACTCGGATCTGCTCCAAAATGTCATGGGATCTTTCTCGGCCAATGCTTCACGATCCCTCCAAGTTTCATGACAATCGTGCCAGAAGTTCTCCAGTAATCCTGATGAAGGAGAACCAAAATGAACCAAAAACATACCCTTGTGTAATGTAAACCGGAGCTTAGAGGATTTGTTGATCGTCTGAACAGGAATTGGATTTTGATGATTGATCCAAATGTAAATATTTAGCTCAGCTCCGGTGATAACTAATTGAATGTAAGACACTGTTTTGGACATAATATATATGGAGAAAGTCTTAAATATAAGACAGCGAGTCGTCAGCAAACGGGATCATCGTTATTTCCACACCTAGTTAGAGATATCCAGATTTTCACAGGAAGTATAATCGCGCGTATAATCTGGATGACGATCCCATGTGTCTCGCAGGCAGGGAACCACTGTAGTAATCGCGTTAGACCCCAGTGTTGATTTTTTACGCGCTGAAATCTTCTAAGACAGGCAGGACATCAGGATAGAAGTTGAAGGTTTTGTCACAAAGATTGTAGAAGTTGTGTTTTCTGAGGGTGAATGCAGATCTCTCGCTGTGTGTCGGTGAACTGGTTCTTTAAGAGACAATTCAATGAGCACAGCAAAAGGGATATTTTCTTTAATATCGTGTTTTATTTCCTCGGATTTAGAGGAAAAGTCAAGAGTCGATAGCTAGTTGTTACGAAGAGGAGAAAGCTTCATAAAGAAGTCCTGAGTCCTGCAAAGAGGAAAGACTGAAACTAAATCCAGTAGTAGGAATATGATTTTTGTGGCATATCGTCACTCTTTAGGACAGATGTGTCTGAGCACAGTTTCACGACTAAAGGTTGAAGCGATACGAGTTCGGCCGCGTTTCTAGAAGAGCTTTGTACACATTTCAAAAGTTTTCTTATCGTTTTTACAATTTCATTTTCTGTTGCTGTTATGTTTTCTTACATTTTGAGCTAGTCGTGTAATCTAGTCCTTTTTTTTCTTTTTTAAAGGTTATTTTTGAGACGGATGCTACTACTAATAATAATTCAACATTAACACCCGTAGAGTTGCCAAGTTGTGTTTTAAAAAAAGAAAAAGACAAAAAGAGAAGGAGACATGGTTAGCTGTAAAATAGTTTAGAGAAAGAGAACCACATATTTTTGCATTGTTGTGTGAGAGATGCTGCGGACGGGACGGGACGGGGGGGTTTAATGCTGGACCAGATGTTTGGTTTTCACTGTACTGAAGCTGGATCAGGAAGTAAAGAAACACGGACGGACGGATGGACGGTCGATGCGACAAAACGCTGTCGGGCTCACATCATTTTAAGACTCCAAGTCTGAATGTCTGCTTGAAAAAAAATCATGGATCAAATCCTACTCTCCAACGTCTTGTGACGATAAACATTTCTTTCCATTAGAAATCGACCCAAAGTAAGATTACTTGACCTGGTTCTCGGACCAGCTTTTTTCCACTAGCTACTGCTGCTTGAATGTGTTCTATGTTTAGACGTCCCCTGGTGGCTGAAAGCAGCTACTGCAGCTCATAGGAGGGGGGCTCTTTACCTGCAGTACCCGTGCTCACCACCAGGGGGCGCCACAGTGATCCTACACAAGCTAAGATTGTACCGAAAAAGTCTCGATCACTGTATCCATCGGAGCACCTTAACAGCCGGCCGCCGGAGGCTTCTGCTGCTCATTTTTTTTACAAAAAACACGACGCAAAACCCGACAAAAATGTCCGACAAGATGCCAAATAATTCCCAAAAACAAAATTGAGCACCGCAGATGTTTTTCGACTCGTCCATCCGTGTCCAGTTCTCACTCCTGATTGCAGTGCCGATCCACAGAGAGGAACCAAAAGTGACAAAGAGAGAGTGGAATAATCTTTAAAATAAAAAAGCACCTTGGGGCGAGCGCCAAAGCCCTCCGCACCTTTCAGAGCTCGATGATGTCACTTCCTGTCTGTGGGTCGGATGCTGGTGGACTGTTATTGTGGGGGGGAGGGTGGGAATCGAGATGTAATGTGAGGGTTCTTTTTGTAAGTTCCTTATTTTTGTTGTTTTGATCTTTTTGTACTATTATTCCCTTTTTTATTTTGTATGTTTTCTCTTATCTCTCTTTACGACATTTGTTGTTTACTGTAAAAAATGATGATGATGATGATGTGCCCAAATCGACCTGTCTTCCTCCAGGTGGGATCATGGACTGTGCAAACTCCCCTGCACTGGGGGTGGGGAGTTAAAGGGGGGAAGGGGGAGAGTTTAGTAGGGTGAGGGGTTGGAGTTCAGATTCAAACAGGGTTCCTACATGAAATTAATTTGGATAATTAAAAAAAAAAAAAATGTAATCTCATAAAAATGTGTACGAAAAGTTTAAGAGAGTGGTGCAGGAATGAGTCCAAAACCCGGAAATGAGTCGGCATTTAACCACTGCCGTCTTGAGAAGATTTGAATGTGTTTTTGGTTGTTAAAAACAGAGGTTGCTAACAAGTGTCTAAATGAGCCGACAAAGTCTTCACGCCCAACATTAGCCGCCTTTAGCTTAGCGGTGGTGACGTGAAGTCATGTGACCGTGCTGTAGTTCCTTTCATAGTTGGAGATTATCCTGCTGAACAAAACGTGTAAGTATCATAAACGTTTGGTTGACACAAAAAGCCAATGGAAACATCCCATTAGCATTAGAACCAGGAACATGCTAACTTGTAGCTCATCACTGCGCCACTCTCATTACTTTCCAAACAAGCACAAGTGTTTCAGTTTGACGATGAGTCGCTGTCTCTTTAGAAACGGCTTCGGGCTGATAATCAGACGCTCATGTCAAAATCATTGAAGGAAGCAAAGATGGAAACGACTTGATGTCTTTTCAACTCTGTCGAAAGTAATTGCACTGACTGTCATATGTACTGCATGGAGAAGTGTGTGATCTTGTTGACGGTCGTATTTCCCTTTTTTAAAACAAATGTTTGAATCCAATCATAAGAGAAATCCACCCTCAATCACTGGTTTCAGAAATCACATATTGTGACTCTCTCGGGCTAACGCTACTTTAGCAAAGAGAGATTAATACAAGCATTCATTTGGCAACGTATCAAATTCCAATATCCACTCTCCTTTGGGCTCAGTTTGTACCCACTCCTGAGGGACATTTCTGTCTTATTAGCTGCTAAACACACGCTTTTGGAAACCGAGGGTGGGTTTCTCTCATGTAGGAACGCTGCTGAAAACCTGGAGGAATGTCTCGACTTGTGTTGCGCAAAAACTGGCTAAACTTGAGTACGGAGGAGCGAGGGAAGTGGATCAAATCGAGACGGAGATCCTGAATCCACATTGTTTATCTCTTCATCCCTTCCTCTCCGCTCAGCCTTCCTCTGCGCTGCAGCGTGACCTCATCACCCCTCGACCTTCCCCCCCCATCTCTCTCTTCCTGCAGGACTGTAGTCTTCTATCCAGAAACATTTACTCTCCCAAAATCCCCACACACCAGAGACAACACACTCACAGATAAATAAATAAATATATATATATATATACTGTATATGTATAAATGGATACAAAACGGGCAAACCTCTGAGATACAGAAGCTCACACACACACACCTCGAAGTGTGTGTTTCAGTGTGTCTTTGTGTCACTGATGCAGTTTTACCAGTTTACCTCGGGAGCTCGCAGCCATAGCAGACCTTAAAGGCCACAGATCTCTGAGCAGCTTTTACTCCGTTACAAAGCAGGTACACACTCTTTTTGTTTTTCAGGAACTCAACCAGGAGCCTCAGCAGAGCTCCGGGAACATCGAATGCATCCAGAACAGGGTTTTTACAGAATAACAGGACACAAAGCGAGAATCAACAGATTTACCTCAGAGTTATACTACAGAATGGGGGGGAGGGGCTTACATATGAACCATATAGCAGCCGTGAATGACTATTTTTTATTCCTTGTCTCTGGTGTCGTCGGGTGAGATTTACTCAGCAGAACTCTTCTGTTTTTTTTCTCACTATAAATATATAAATATATAGACTGTACATTATGACATAGAAGCACTATCGAAGTTTGATTGTTAGATGTGCACTCGCAGCATGAGGTATTATTCTTTATTATAACCCAGAAAAAATAAATAAAAACAAAAGCAGATTTTTTGGACAAAAAGAGGATTTAAAAAACCAATGCAGTAGCTCGACGGACGTCAGAGAAAATACCCGACCCTACACTGACAGACACACAGACCCCGCCCCCTGCCGTGTTAGCCCCGCCCCCATCCAACCAACCAATCACCCCCCCCTCAGCCCCGTGTACATGCCAGTGTTTCCCCATGTGTTCCAAGTGCCAATAACTTTGTGAATTCCTAACTGTGACCCAGTAATAAAGATTTAATTGCACATTAACTACTGTAAAGAGAAACGAAACCAGACTGATTAAAAATGAGGAAAAATCTGAATATCTTAATAAAATGTTTTTAACAAACAGGACTGACCTTACCGCTGCGTCGGCTCTTTATTCACGCTTCATTCAGAATACTCTCTAGGATGAATGTTTTAAATGGTGTTTTGTTTGATTTCATGTCTTTTTAAGTGGAAATATGTGGCTTTTGCTGAACAACGGCCACAACTGACAGTTACTGAATAATGTCATGTTGAATTTCTTTATAGCCCAACATTAGCCACCTTTAGCTTAGCGGTGGAGACGTGAAGTCATGTGACCGTGCTGTAGTTCCTTTATAGCCCAACATTAGCCGCCTTTAGCTTAGCGGTGGTGACGTGAAGTCATGTGACCGTGCTGTAGTTCCTTTATAGCCTAACATTAGCCACCTTTAGCTTAGCGGTGGTGACGTGAAGTCATGTGACCATGCTGTAGTTCCTTTATAGCCCAACATTAGCCACCTTTAGCTTAGCGGTGGTGACGTGAAGTCATGTGACCGTGCTGTAGTTCCTTTATAGCCCAACATTAGCCACCTTTAACTTAGCGGTGGAGACGTGAAGTCATGTGACCGTGCTGTAGTTCCTTTATAGCCCAACATTAGCCACCTTTAGCTTAGCGGTGGTGACGTGAAGTCATGTGACCGTGCTGTAGTTCCTTTATAGCCCAACATTAGCCACCTTTAGCTTAGCGGTGGAGACGTGAAGTCATGTGACCGTGCTGTAGTTTCTTTATAGCCCAACATTAGCCACCTTTAGCTTAGCGGTGGTGACGTGAAGTCATGTGACCGTGCTGTAGTTCCTTTATAGCCCAACATTAGCCTCCTTTAGCTTAGCGGTGGAGACGTGAAGTCATGTGACCGTGCTGTAGTTCCTTTATAGCCCAACATTAGCCACCTTTAGCTTAGCGGTGGAGACGTGAAGTCATGTGACCGTGCTGTAGTTCCTTTATAGCCCAACATTGTTCTTTACAACATGCTTTACTAAGACTTTGAAGAACTTTCTAAAGCATATGATGCTATAACGTTTATTATTTTTGTATGACATAACATACTATGACTTTCTATACATTTCTTCAAGTATGTCTTTTCAGGATTTTTTATGGCATACTAAAAAATGACATCAGATTGTTTCATAGTCGATTCCACACTAGAAAATTGCAAATACATCCATTTATAGTTTTCAAACTGTCGCACGTTGTATAAGTAATTTGCAATTGTTTAAGATGTAGGTTTTACATCAGTTTATGTATACAAAAATACATAATTTACTCAATATAACACACCATTAAAAGAGCACACAAACACACGAAAAAAAGAGTCTTGTAGAATCTGTTCTCGACAGACGATGGTGAGAGAACAGCAGAAATACGACTGTTTAATCTCTGCTGAATGGTTCCTGCAGAGTTCTCAGGACGCCTCTCTTCTCTCCGTACAGCCACTGGAGACTCGCTCTGCTCATTACAGCTAAAGTTAAAGAGATGTCACATGACGCCTCTTCTGCTCCCAGGAGAGGAAGTAATGAAGAGTGCTTCTCAATTAAAAATCACTCCTGAAACATGTGCTGGAAGCTTTCATCTAAAATATGAAACACAGAGCGATATATAACTAATTCAAACAACGAGGGAAGAAGCCACTGTACAAATCTAAACAGCCATATTATGCTCATTTTCAGGTGTATATCAGTACGTAGTGTCTCTACTTTAAAGAGTCCTCTCCTGCTGATGTTCAGGTGTATATCAGTACGTAGTGTCTCTACTTTAAAGAGTCCTCTCCTGCTGATGTTCAGGTGTATATCAGTAGTGTCTCTACTTTAAAGAGTCCTCTCCTGCTGATGTTCAGGTGTATATCAGTATTTAGTGTCTCTACTTTAAAGAGTCCTCTCCTGCTGATGTTCAGGTGTATATCAGTACGTAGTGTCTCTACTTTAAAGAGTCCTCTCCTGCTGATGTTCAGGTGTATATCAGTACGTAGTGTCTCTACTTTAAAGAGTCCTCTCCTGCTGATGTTCAGGTGTATATCAGTACGTAGTGTCTCTACTTTAAAGAGTCCTCTCCTGCTAATTTTCAGGTGTATATCAGTATGTAGTGTTTCTACTTTAAAGAGTCCTCTCCTGCTAATTTTCAGGTGTATATCAGTATGTAGTGTTTCTACTTTAAAGAGTCCTCTCCTGCTAATTTTCAGGTGTATATCAGTATGTAGTGTCTCTACTTTAAAGAGTCCTCTCCTGCTAATTTTCAGGTGTATATCAGTATGTAGTGTCTCTACTTTAAAGAGTCCTCTCCTGCTGATGTTCAGGTGTATATCAGTATGTAGTGTCTCTACTTTAAAGAGTCCTCTCCTGCTGATGTTCAGGTGTATATCAGTATGGAGTGTCTCTACTTTAAAGAGTCCTCTCCTGCTGATGTTCAGGTGTATATCAGTATGTGAGTGATTCTACAATTTAGGGTACATTCCATGTCCATTGATGTCCATTGATGATAATTATAATTATTTTAACTATTTTCTTCAAAAATATCATATTTTGCCTATTATTGGAAAGCATGTTATAATATCACACAAACATTATGTGCATCCTATGCTTTATTTAGCTTGAAATGTGTCATGATGTTCTTAAATTGTCAGTTTTTGCTATGTCCGTTTTCAGTTGAGGGTGTCTTGGTTTCAAAATAATGAATAAAAACCATTAAAGTAAATTTAAAAAATGATTCATTTATTTCAAAAGTCTAAATACTAAAGAATAATAACATATTTTTAATTGATTTCCTCCTTTAAATAATTTAAATATCTTAATATATGAATGTCCGCAAAAGTTCTGTCAACTATGTTACTAACAGAACTTCCCCCTTTAACTCAAAAATTGTTTGTCCCAATACCATGTCACCAGCATCACATGATGCCATGTTCCTCTTTGGCAGACATTTTGAACACACTGTGGTGATTGTCCTCTACATTTTTACAATATTTTATGTATAATAGCACATGGTCAATTAATATACTCATTGACAATCAACAATGTTACGTACATTGTTATGGTTTACAATTGTTTAATGATTTTAGTTCAATTATATGTTCAAATGTGATGTTAACCTGTTCAAGAAAATGACATGTGGTCATCCAGGCAAGGCCTACCATTGAAATGATGGGTCAAAATAGGGAAATTGTCAACTAGGTTACCTGTCAACTAAGTTACCCAGTACTGTAATAACTGTAGTAACTTAGTTTACAGGTAACCTAGTTGACAATTTGTATGACATGTAGACATCATGACACATCATTATCAATGGAATGTTGCACTTCTGCCTTGAAATTAACATAGTGCTGATGGTTAATAATGTGTCCAGTCAACTATGTTATTTGCGTCAAATGTTTGACTTTCATTGTCAACTATGTTGCACCTCATTTTTTCAAATTTAAAATATCTAAAATAGTGCTTCTGATATCCTTTATAGTATAATGTATATCTACACAGGTTGGAGTTTTACATGACATCTCTTAAAACTATCAAAATGACCTGTATGGTAGTTTTATAATACAAAATATCCCTAAACTTAATGACAGTGCTGAACATATCACATGAAAAAACAAAACTTTAATACAATTATTTTTTAAACTTTAAAAAAATCTTTGGATATATGGTAGAATAGACTCAAGAGCCTTTCAAATTTGATTTTACTTGAAGTGCAGGACTTAATCAAATGATTGTAATGACATCAAGTTTGTCCGTAACATAGTTGACAAACTGAGTAGTGAAAACATCCTTTCCCTTAAAATAAAAAAATAAATAAAAATGTTTAAGCTTTGCAACTAGTGGATATGTTACACTGAGGAATATACTAACTTGAACCACTGATTGTTCTATTGAGAAAGAACACTTTCTTTGTACTGTTTTGTTGATGTGAAATGCACCCTAAATTATAGAATCAGTCATGTAGTGTCTCTACTTTAAAGAGTCCTCTCCTGCTGATGTTCAGGTGTATATCAGTATGTAGTGTCTCTACTTTAAAGAGTCCTCTCCTGCTGATGTTCAGGTGTATATCAGTGTGTAGTGTCTCTACTTTAAAGAGTCCTCTCCTGCTGATGTTCAGGTGTATATCAGTATGTAGTGTCTCTACTTTAAAGAGTCCTCTCCTGCTGATGTTCAGGTGTATATCAGTATGTAGTGTCTCTACTTTAAAGAGTCCTCTCCTGCTGATGTTCAGGTGTATATCAGTATGTAGTGTCTCTACTTTAAAGAGTCCTCTCCTGCTGATGTTCAGGTGTATATCAGTATGTAGTGTCTCTACTTTAAAGAGTCCTCTCCTGCTGATGTTCAGGTGTATATCAGTATGTAGTGTCTCTACTTTAAAGAGTCCTCTCCTGCTGATGTTCAGGTGTATTAACATAATTTGCAAAAACATGATTTTTTTTAATTAAGAAGCCAGATATCAGGGGATGGTGGTGATTACGTTCTTTTGAAAAGTACACCTTAAAGCAGGGGTGTCAAACTCAATTTCATCGCGGGCCACATTAGCATTATGGTTGCACTCAAAGGGCCGGTTGTAACTATATAAATATATAATATATATATAAAATAATGTATTATATTACATTATTGCCTCTGCATTGGATTATTATCGGATAGGGTAATAACTTCATAATTAACTACGTCTGAAAGCAGAAGTTCAGGGCAAATAATTGCAAGTCTCTTCAGTGCGCAACAAGATGCATTGTGGGACATGTAGTTTATGGGCAACCTGCTTCTGTAAAGTAGCATGTAACCGTATAATAAACGTATTATATTCTTTGCAAGCTCTTGCGGGGTCACATCAAATAAAGTCGCGGGCCGGATTTGGCCCCCGGGCCTTGAGTTTGACACCCCTGCCTTAAAGTGTTAAGATCCTATATAAATCTGATGAAAACATCAGGATTTTAAGGTTTAAAAATGTCAAATAATGACTTTTAAAGGTAGGGTAGGTAAGTTTGAGAAACCGGCTCGAGATCGCTAGAATTTGAAAATACACAACCGGAGAAAATCTGCCACTTCCTTACAGAGCCCCTCCTCCAACACACACGAACGCACACATGACCAATGAGGGCACGAGATAGGTTTGTGCACAGATGGAAGGCTGACAGGCAGGTAGGCCATCCAGTTATTTTAGCCGGGCCGGCTCAGATGATTGGTCGTGCTTTTTACAGTACTACGGCACAGATGACATTTTTGTATGGATTTTTTTGTCAAAGCACTTCAGATCAAATCAAATCAGGTTTTATTTATAAAGCACATTTAAAAGCGATTTTTGGTCGAGCCAAAGTGCTGTACATGTAATAAAAACACATTACTACAAAACACAATAAACGACAATAAATTACAACAGATATAACTTAAAAAACAAAATAAGAATAAAACACACGGAATAGTCAGGAGTCGTGCTCCGCTCTAACTAGAAAGCCAGAGAGAAGAAGTGTGTTTTTAGTTTTGATTTAAAACCCCCTAGGGTCTGGGCCGACCTCACATGGAGGGGCAGAGTGTTCCAGAGCCTCGGGCCAGCTGCTGCGAAGGCTCGGTGCCCTCGGGTTTTTAGCCTGGTCTTGGGCACTACCAGCAGCAGCTGGTCAGCAGACCTTAAAGCTCTGGCTGGGGTGTAGCGCTGGAGGAGTTCAGCTATATAGGCCGGAGCCAGCCCATTTAGGGCTTTAAAAACAAATAAAAGGATTTTAAAATCAATTCTGAACCGAACTGGAAGCCAGTGCAGTGAGGCCAGAATAGGGGTGATGTGGTCACGCTTTTTGTGACCAGTCAGCAAACGTGCAGCAGCGTTTTGGACTAGCTGTAAGCGTTTGATTGAGGCCTGGTCCATACCCACATACAGAGCGTTACAATAGTCCAGTCTCGAGGTTACAAAGGCGTTAATAACCCTTTCTAAGTCTTTAAAAGATAAATACGACTTGGTTTTGGCCAATAGTCTTATTTTAAAAAAGCAGGATTTTACTACGGTGCTGACCTGCTTGTCAAATTTAAAAGTGCTGGTGAAGGTCACTCCAAGGTTCATGACCGAGGGGAGGATGTTTTTTTTTATAGAGCCCAGAATATCAACCGGAGAGGCTGGAGGTTGGGGTCCAAAAAAGATGACCTCGGTCTTGCTCTCGTTGAGGTTGAGGAAGTTTTTGCTCAGCCAGGATTTTATCTCTGCTAAGCAGTCCATCAACTGCTGTAGTGAGTGTGTGACATTTGCTTTGAGAGGCAGATAGATCTGTACATCGTCGGCATAGCAGTGGAAGGGAATGTTATGTTTTGTGAGTATTGAACCTAGGGGCAGTATGTACAGTAGAAAAAGGATGGGGCCCAGAATCGAGCCTTGGGGAACCCCACAGGTAAGAGGGGCTTTGGCTGAGGAGAAGGCACCTAGCTGTACCGAGAAGCTACGGTCTGTCAGGTAGGACCTGAACCATGCAAGGGCAGAGCCTGTGATGCCAGCGGACTGTTCAAGCCGTGACAGCAGGATGCTATGGTCCACAGTGTCAAAGGCAGCTGTCAGGTCTAACAGCACCAAGACAGCTGGGCTACCTGAGTCGGCGGCTAGGAGCAGATCATTAAAAACTCTTAAAAGGGCTGTTTCAGTGCTGTGCATGGGTTTGAAGCCAGACTGGAAATTTTGCATGGATTCCATGCGTGGTTAAAAAAGACTGCAGCTGGGCGTAGACTACTCGCTCCAGGGCTTTTGATAAAAAAGGTAGCTGGGAGATGGGCCTAAAATTTGCGAGAATGGAGGGGTCGAGATTTTTCTTTGCTATTGGGATGTTAAGAGCATTCCATGGAATATAACAAGTGTATCTCGAGCCGGTTTCTCAAACTTACCTACCCTACCTTTAACAGGAGACATGTTTGTTCTGCTCTATTTGTGGCTGGTAAACAAATCGTGAAACCATTTAAAAAATCAGCTAAACATATTCATGAGTCCTGCTAAATAATTGAATATTTGTCACAATGTTCACTGCCTAGATGCAATACATCTGTAGTTCCTTTTTGGATTAATTCTCAGATTAATCTTTTAGACCCAGATGTGGAAACAAGCCCATGAAGAAAACACTGAGACGTGATGAAACAGTATCATACAGTTTATATAGATGTAGTGAAATGTGAACAGAGAGCCTGAACATTAAGGAAATACAATATAAATCCTTCCATGATGAGAGTCCTGTACCTGCAGACCTCCTCCCTCTGTGCAGAGGTCTGAGTGACTCATGAACAGAAACCACATGAGGTTCATTTATGCTGCAGACATTTTCCCCACTGAAGCATTTAAAGAGTGAGAGCATGAATATGTAAAAGCACATTAAAAGCACACATGAAGATTAGAAGACCGTTGCATTAAATCCACAGGCCATCTGACCTCCGACTGCTTTGGTAAAAAAAAAAGCAATGGAAATGTCATTAAACGTCTTATTTGATAATTTCATTTAAGGCAAAAAAACACAAGTAAAAAGACAAATCAAGCGGGATTTAAAATACATTTCTGCATAAAGCCTTTGTACAGGAGTAATGTGCATTTACAGAAAGCATTGTACAGCACTGCAACACACCCTTGCGTGGGTAGAGTAACCTGACATGACACAAAGAACCACCATGACCTTCAGCGTCCAGCAGAGGGCGCTGCGAGCCTAAAACTGAGCCGCCTGCGAGCCTTCCTGCCCAGCAACTGTTCCTCCTCTCCTTAGATAAAGCTTTTCAATCAAACACAGCAAACCCATTCGCTCCCAGACAAGGTTGAGAGGAACAAAGCCTCTGCCAATCGAGTGCTGCAAGACCAGACTTCACCAATAAAACGTTGCAGTCCGCTGAGAAAGTGTGAGAGCGTCTGGTGTCAAGGAGGAACTGCCTCGAGCTACTATGAGTCTACATGCTTTTGTTTTGACTGCTGCTGATTTCAGAGCTGACTCACTGAAATATGCTGATCAGTTTTTTTTTTTTTTTTAAGATGCTGTCTGCTGGACTGGCATGGTTTCCTTCTTCCAGTCCAGCAGACAGCATCTCATTTCACTGATTCTGGACGAACTGTCACTTCTTTTTAGCATGATGACTAGGACTTGATTCACACGTAGGCACATAAACATACTGCACATTTCACGATATATAAAAATATATTTAAGGCAACACTGAAAAACCCCTAACCCTCCCACGCTGCACGAAGAACGGCATCTTAATTGATTTAACAGTTAATTAATCCTGATTTATCACTGTCTTAAAAATACAAATATGTTTGTGGTTCATTAAAGTTCAGCATCATTAAAGATTTAATAATGACGATGAACACAAGACACTTTTTTGTAGTTTTCCCAAATAAAAGGAACTAGAACTGAAGTGTGTAAGTGCCGTTTCCTACCGCTACTGCCCAAGATGTTCACTAATTTATCAACCAAACTAATTTGACTGCTATAGGACAGAGTCTTCATTTCAAAAGTTGACGTAAAAATATCTCGATTTGCTAAACAGGTTTTTAATTTTGACCTGGCAGCAGCAGCAGCTTCTTCTTGTACCGTACCGTTATTTTCAAATATAACCGAAATGCACCAATGTGAAATAGCACCGGGGCGTTAAACCCCTTCCGCTCAAGTTGTTTCCCTTTCACTAGAATCACTGAAAGCACAGAGGAGGAGTCCGTCCTATCAGGGAGGAGTGTATCAGAGAGGTCAGAGGTCACTGCCATCAGAGAGCGAAGAACAGGATGAGGACGACGATCATTATGGTGACCAGAACACCGATGGCACACCACTGTCTCCGACCTGCGGAACAAAGACGGTCTTTAAGTCCAAACACTGAGAATAATGACTAAATAAATAATATATAATTAATATATAACAATACGCTTTATTCTAGGGAAGCTTTCCACCTGCTGTGACGACATGTAAGAGAATGGATTAGGCATGGGACGATGGGAAATTCAGAGTATTGCCCTGACGGTAAATAAGATATGCTTAGAACTGCTTACAATGTGGTACTAAAACATACTTTTCCCACATCTTTGGTTAAAAGCAAGTCTGAAAAGTGGTCTTAACTCAAAGGTAAAGGAACAAATACAACATGGTTTCAGACCGTTTTTAGTCAGGCTCTGTTTCTCAATTATATACCATAATAGAGAGCTAGACAGCGTTTTCAAATCACTCATGAGGATATGTATCCCCATAATAGAAATTGATCACGATTAACTTATTGCAAGTGTGTTTTAAACTCTATCCGGGATATCATCCTATCTCTAGAGTGTGTGTAGAGTGTGTGTGGAGTGTGTGTAGAGTGTGTGTGGAGTGTGTGTAGAGTGTGTGTAGAGTGTGTGTGGAGTGTGTGTAGAGTGTGTGTAGCAGAGTTCCCGTTAGAATATCTTTTTGCCGGTCAACATGTCCGTTAAAGTTTAAATCTTCCGGACAAAATGAGAAAAGTGCCGGTCAAAGGTCTTCTTTGTTATTTATTGAGCTTTAAAACAAATTGATATGATTCGATATTAAACAAACTAATTATAGTAGATTAACTACATTATTCAAACATGTACAGTAACTTACAATAACATGGGAATAATAAACGGAGCGCTCTCCCCCTCTCCTGACAGCCCATCAGTATCATGCAGCTCGCGGATCAGTAATGAGTGACCCGACAGTAAAACTAAACATATCTATAACTAGTTTAGGTTTGAGAGGTAATTAAAATAGCTACGTGTGATATTCTAACCTGAAGTGTGTGTGTTGCTCTGCTCACCGCTGCAGGTGATCATGCAGAGCTGCGTGTCGACTCGTCAGCAGCAGCTGATCTCTCTCTCCGGTCAGATTAGACTTCACTCGCGTTTATCTCCATATCGATCAGATCTAGTTCTAGCTAATGATATGACTACCTGCTTATTAAAAGACACCTCAACAATAAGCGTCGCTATGCAACCGGGTGAGGCCACAAAGTATAGCGCAGCATTATGCATTTGTTTACATGCCCACCGGAACCCTGAGGCATTACCAACAGATCAACGCATACAGGACATCTCTTTCTCCACGTGTTAGACATTAGAATTGACTATTCTTGTCTGTCACACACTCTTCTTGTCTGTCACACACTCTTCTTGTCTGTCACATACTATTCTTGTCTGTCACACACTCTTCTTGTCTGTCACATACTCTTCTTGTCTGTCACACACTCTTCTTGTCTGTCACACACTCTTCTTGTCTGTCACACACTCTTCTTGTCCGTCACACACTCTTCTTGTCTGTCTCATACTATTCTTGTCTGTCACACACTCTTCTTGTCCGTCACACACTCTTCTTGTCCGTCTCATACTATTCTTGTCCATCACACACTCTTCTTGTCTGTCACGTACTCTTCTTGTCTGTCACGTACTCTTCTTGTCTGTCACGTACTCTTCTTGTCTGTCACGTACTCTTCTTGTCTGTCACGCACTCTTCTTGTCTGTCACGCACTCTTCTTGTCTGTCACGTACTCTTCTTGTCTGTCACGTACTCTTCTTGTCTGTCACGTACTCTTCTTGTCTGTCACGTACTCTTCTTGTCTGTCACGTACTCTTCTTGTCTGTCACGTACTCTTCTTGTCTGTCACGTACTCTTCTTGTCTGTCACGTACTCTTCTTGTCTGTCACACACTCTTCTTGTCTGTCACATACTCTTCTTGTCTGTCACACACTCTTCTTGTCTGTCTCATACTATTCTTGTCTGTCACACACTCTTCTTGTCCGTCACACACTCTTCTTGTCCGTCACACACTCTTCTTGTCCGTCTCATACTATTCTTGTCCGTCACGCACTCTTCTTGTCCGTCACGCACTCTTCTTGTCCGTCACGCACTCTTCTTGTCCGTCACGTACTCTTCTTGTCCGTCACGTACTCTTCTTGTCCGTCACGTACTCTTCTTGTCCGTCACGTACTCTTCTTGTCCTTCACGTACTCTTCTTATCCGTCACGTACTCTTCTTGTCCGTCACGTACTCTTCTTGTCCGTCACGTACTCTTCTTGTCCGTCACGTACTCTTCTTGTCTGTCACGTACTTTTCACGTACTCTTCTTGTCTGTCACGTACTCTTCTTGTCTGTCACGTACTCTTCTTGTCTGTCACGTACTCTTCTTGTCTGTCACGTACTCTTCTTGTCTGTCACGTACTCTTCTTGTCTGTCACACACTCTTCTTGTCCGTCACACACTCTTCTTGTCCGTCACACACTCTTCTTGTCCGTCACACACTCTTCTTGTCCGTCACACACTCTTCTTGTCCGTCACACACTCTTCTTGTCCGTCACACACTCTTCTTGTCCGTCACACACTCTTCTTGTCCGTCACACACTCTTCTTGTCCGTCACACACTCTTCTTGTCCGTCACACACTCTTCTTGTCCGTCACACACTCTTCTTGTCCGTCACACACTCTTCTTGTCCGTCACACACTCTTCTTGTCTGTCACACACTCTTCTTGTCTGTCACACACTCTTCTTGTCTGTCACTTACTCTTCTTGTCTGTCACATACTCTTCTTGTCTGTCACACACTCTTCTTGTCTGTCACATACTCTTCTTGTCTGTCACATACTCTTCTTGTCTGTCTCATACTCTTCTTGTCTGTCTCATACTCTTCTTGTCTGTCTCATACTATTCTTGTCTGTCACATACTCTTCTTGTCTGTCTCATACTCTTCTTGTCTGTCACACACTCTTCTTGTCCGTCACACACTCTTCTTGTCCGTCACACACTCTTCTTGTCCGTCACACACTCTTCTTGTCCGTCTCACACTCTTCTTGTCTGTCACACACTCTTCTTGTCTGTCACACACTCTTTTTGTCCGTCACACACTCTTTTTGTCCGTCACATACTCTTTTTGTCTGTCACATACTCTTCTTGTCTGTCACATACTCTTCTTGTCTGTCACATACTATTCTTGTCTGTCACATACTCTTTTGTCTGTCACATACTCTTCTTGTCCGTCACATACTCTTCTTGTCTGTCACATACTCTTTTGTCTGTCTCATACTATTCTTGTCTGTCACATACTCTTCTTGTCTGTCTCATACTCTTCTTGTCTGTCACACACTCTTCTTGTCCGTCACACACTCTTCTTGTCCGTCACACACTCTTCTTGTCCGTCACACACTCTTCTTGTCCGTCTCACACTCTTCTTGTCTGTCACACACTCTTCTTGTCTGTCACACACTCTTTTTGTCCGTCACACACTCTTTTTGTCCGTCACATACTCTTTTTGTCTGTCACATACTCTTCTTGTCTGTCACATACTCTTCTTGTCTGTCACATACTATTCTTGTCTGTCACATACTCTTTTGTCTGTCACATACTCTTCTTGTCCGTCACATACTCTTCTTGTCTGTCACATACTCTTCTTGTCTGTCACATACTATTCTTGTCTGTCACATACTCTTTTGTCTGTCACATACTCTTCTTGTCCGTCACATACTCTTCTTGTCCGTCACATACTCTTTTTGTCTGTCACATACTCTTCTTGTCTGTCACATACTCTTCTTGTCTGTCACATACTCTTCTTGTCCGTCACATACTCTTCTTGTCCGTCACATACTCTTCTTGTCTGTCACATACTCTTCTTGTCTGTCACATACTATTCTTGTCTGTCACATACTCTTTTGTCTGTCACATACTCTTCTTGTCTGTCACATACTCTTCTTGTCTGTCACATACTATTCTTGTCTGTCACATACTCTTCTTGTCCGTCACATACTCTTCTTGTCCGTCACATACTCTTCTTGTCTGTCACATACTCTTTTTGTCTGTCACATACTCTTTTTGTCTGTCACATACTCTTCTTGTCCGTCACATACTCTTCTTGTCCGTCACATACTCTTCTTGTCCGTCACATACTCTTCTTGTCCGTCACATACTCTTCTTGTCTGTCACATACTCTTCTTGTCTGTCACACACTCTTCTTGTCCGTCACATACTCTTCTTGTCTGTCACATACTCTTCTTGTCTGTCACATACTCTTTTTGTCTGTCACATACTCTTCTTGTCTGTCACATACTCTTCTTGTCTGTCACATACTATTCTTGTCTGTCACATACTCTTCTTGTCTGTCACATACTCTTCTTGTCTGTCACATACTCTTTTGTCTGTCACATACTCTTCTTGTCTGTCACATACTCTTCTTGTCTGTCACACACTCTTCTTGTCTGTCACATACTCTTCTTGTCTGTCACATACTGTTCTTGTCTGTCACATACTCTTCTTGTCTGTCACATACTCTTCTTGTCTGTCACATACTCTTCTTGTCTGTCACATACTCTTTTGTCTGTCACATACTCTTCTTGTCTGTCACATACTCTTCTTGTCTGTCACACACTCTTCTTGTCTGTCACATACTCTTCTTGTCTGTCACATACTGTTCTTGTCTGTCACATACTCTTCTTGTCTGTCACATACTCTCTTGTCTGTCACATACTCTTCTTGTCTGTCACATACTCTCTTGTCTGTCACATACTCTTCTTGTCTGTCACATACTCTTCTTGTCTGTCACATACTCTTCTTGTCTGTCACATACTCTTTTGTCTGTCACATACTCTTCTTGTCTGTCACATACTCTTCTTGTCTGTCACACACTCTTCTTGTCTGTCACATACTCTTCTTGTCTGTCACATACTCTTCTTGTCTGTCACATACTCTTCTTGTCTGTCACATACTCTTCTTGTCTGTCACATACTCTTTTGTCTGTCACATACTCTTCTTGTCTGTCACATACTCTTCTTGTCTGTCACACACTCTTCTTGTCTGTCACATACTCTTCTTGTCTGTCACATACTCTCTTGTCTGTCACATACTCTTCTTGTCTGTCACACACTCTTCTTGTCTGTCACATACTCTTCTTGTCTGTCACATACTCTTCTTGTCTGTCACAGACTCTTCATGTCTGTCACTTACTCTTCTTGTCTGTCACATACTCTTCTTGTCTGTCACATACTCTTCTTGTCTGTCACATACTCTTCTTGTCTGTCACAGACTCTTCATGTCTGTCACTTACTCTTCTTGTCTGTCACATACTATTCTTGTCTGTCACACACTCTTTTGTCTGTCACATACTCTTCTTGTCTGTCACATACTCTTTTGTCTGTCACGTACTCTTCTTGTCTGTCACATACTCTTCTTGTCTGTCACACACTCTTTTGTCTGTCACGTACTCTTCTTGTCTGTCACATACTCTTCTTGTCTGTCACATACTCTTTTGTCTGTCACATACTCTTCTTGTCTGTCACATACTCTTCTTGTCTGTCACATACTCTTCTTGTCTGTCACATACTCTTCTTGTCTGTCACATACTCTTCTTGTCTGTCACATACTCTTCTTGTCTGTCACATACTCTTCTTGTGTGTCACTTACTCTTCTTGTCTGTCACATACTCTTCTTGTGTGTCACTTACTCTTCTTGTCTGTCACATACTCTTCTTGTGTGTCACATACTCTTCTTGTCTGTCACTTACTCTTCTTGTGTGTCACTTACTCTTCTTGTCTGTCACATACTCTTCTTGTGTGTCACTTACTCTTCTTGTCTGTCACATACTCTTCTTGTCTGTCACATACTCTTCTTGTCTGTCACACACTCTTCTTGTCTGTCACAGACTCTTCATGTCTGTCACTTACTCTTCTTGTCTGTCACATACTCTTCTTGTCTGTCACATACTCTTCTTGTCTGTCACATACTATTCTTGTGTGTCACATACTCTTCTTGTCTGTCACATACTCTTCTTGTGTGTCACTTACTCTTCTTGTCTGTCACATACTCTTCTTGTGTGTCACTTACTCTTCTTGTCTGTCACATACTCTTCTTGTCTGTCACATACTCTTCTTGTGTGTCACATACTCTTCTTGTGTGTCACTTACTCTTCTTGTCTGTCACATACTCTTCTTGTCTGTCACATACTCTTCTTGTGTGTCACTTACTCTTCTTGTCTGTCACATACTCTTCTTGTCTGTCACATACTCTTCTTGTGTGTCACTTACTCTTCTTGTGTGTCACTTACTCTTCTTGTCTGTCACATACTCTTCTTGTGTGTCACATACTCTTCTTGTCTGTCACATACTCTTCTTGTGTGTCACTTACTCTTCTTGTCTGTCACATACTCTTCTTGTGTGTCACATACTCTTCTTGTCTGTCACATACTCTTCTTGTCTGTCACACACTCTTCTTGTCTGTCACAGACTCTTCATGTCTGTCACTTACTCTTCTTGTCTGTCACATACTCTTCTTGTCTGTCACATACTATTCTTGTCTGTCACACACTCTTCTTGTCTGTCACATACTATTCTTGTCTGTCACATAAGTGGCGCAACTGATGCGGTATTGCGTTGAGGGGAAATTATTTTGACCGGAGAGATTTGCCGGTCTTCAGCATATTTTACCGGTCATAGTCCGGTAATTACCGGCTAACGGGAACTCTGGTGTGTAGAGTGTGTGTAGAGTGTGTGTAGAGTGTGTGTAGAGTGTGTGTAGAATGTGTGTAGAGTGTGTGTGGAGTGTGTGTGGACTCACTGCTGGTCATGTGAGACACCTTCTCCAGCTTCTTCAGGACAGAGTCCATCCGGGACGACGTCTGATCCATCTCGTCTCCAAAGTCCCCCAACATGCTGAGGACCAAGAGAGTACACAAATATTTAAGTAAAGATTAAAGAAGACACTTTAACTAAAGCACTAAAAACACCTTTGAATGCATATTATTTAACCTGTTGAGGCCTACATGAGCTACTCAAACTAAATGTACGTGAACCATCACATGGAGTTTCTCCAGAAAGATATGATGTGATGTGATACTGTGTCTCTGATCTTGTTTATAAGATATCTACATTCTGGCAGAACATGACGCCCGTATACAAGATGTCTCCGCGGACGTAAACAACAACAACGTGACGTCGGAGCTCCGTAAAAACAAAGCTGTCTCTGCCGTCTGGCGCTCTGTTTGATACTCAGTTTCCATTAAATGGATTGAAACTAAAGGATGAATGAGAAGGAGAAGAGGTGCATTTTACAAGTTGAATACAGACAGAAAGAATGTACATTTTCAGTATTGTGTGTCTGTGTGTTTTTGACAAGAGAAATATTAGCTTTAAATGTTGGTTAAAGTAACACATTATTGACTAAAATAAAAAAAAGTACAGAGGTATAATTTGCAAAGCAACATCTAATCGTTGGGAATAATGTGTGTGTGGTGTTGTGCCGTGTCGTGTCTGTCTGTCTGTCTCTGTCTGTCTGTCTCTCTCTGTCTGTGTCTGTCTGTCTGTCTGTGTCTCTCTGCCTCTCTATCTGTCTGTCTCTCTCTCTCTCTGTGTCTCTCTGTCTGTCTGTCTATCTGTGTGCGTGTGTCCCTCCACTCACACAGCCTGCTCGTCCAGCTCGTCCCCGATGCGTCCCGACATGTCTTTGAGGACTCTGATGCTGCCAGACACCAACTCCAGCTGCTCGTCCTGGTCCTCCATGATCAGCTACACACACACACACACACACACACACACACACACACACACACACACACACACACACAATATTTAAGTACATTTTCAAGCTTCTAATGCCTTATCAGAGTGTCCCTTTTCACATGTCTCCACTCTGTCCTCTGGTTTTATTCTTTAAACAGTTTGTAAATAACCTGAATTGTATGTCAATCTTAATGTGAGGGTAATTTCCCGAAGGTAAATATGGTTTTCTCCTCTATATTTTCCATTAAAACACTCAAATGCGTCTGTTTTATACCCTACTCCGCACGTGTAATGACCTAAGAGTGCCACACACTGATACCTGATGGAAACACACTCTTCTATATTTAAATCAAAAGGTGTCAACTATCACAGTGGATGTTTTTTGTTATTCAATTCTTAGTAAAACCACCTGCCACAGGATGTGTGAAGGGATATTTTCATCACACACAGGAAATAGAAACCAGCAGCTCACACACTCTGTGACACTAAAGCTGAACTTTACACCTTTATTTAATCCTCTCTCTCTTCACAGCTGACGTCTCACTTTTCTTCTTAACAGCGGGGATCCTCCTCTCTCTCACACTGTGTTTCTTTGATCAAATCATCTGTTGACTTAACCTCATAAAACACACTTCAACATTTTCCAGTTTCAGTCTGACTCTCATGTTTATAAAAAGTCAGGTTTGAAAACTGCAAGCTCATCTTACTTCCCTTTTCTCCTAATAAAGCTTTATTTTACCCCATTTTGCTTAGCGTTGATTCATGTGACCGTGCTGTAGTTCCTTTATAGCCCAACATTAGCCACCTTTAGCTTAGCGTTGGTGATGTGAAGTCATGTGACCGTGCTGTAGTTCCTTTATAGCCCAATATTAGCCACCTTTAGCTTAGCGGTGGGGACATGAAGTCATGTGACCGCGCTGTAGTTCCTTTATAGCCCAACATTAGCCTCCTTTAGCTTAGCGGTGGTGACGTGAAGTCATGTGACCGTGCTGTAGTTCCTTTATAGCCCAACATTAGCCACCTTTAGCTTAGCGGTGGTGACGTGAAGTCATGTGACCTTGCTGTAGTTCCTTTATAGCCCAACATTAGCCACCTTTAGCTTAGCGGTGGTGACGTGAAGTCATGTGACCGTGCTGTAGTTCCTTTATAGCCCAACATTAGCCACCTTTAGCTTAGCGGTGGTGACGTGAAGTCATGTGACCGTTCTGTAGTTCCTTTATAGCCCAACATTAGCCACCTTTAGCTTAGCGGTGGTGACGTGAAGTCATGTGACGTGCTGTAGTTCCTTTATAGCCCAACATTAGCCACCTTTAGCTTAGCGGTGGTGACGTGAAGTCATGTGACCGTGCTGTAGTTCCTTTATAGCCCAACATTAGCCACCTTTAGCTTAGCGGTGGTGACGTGAAGTCATGTGACCGTGCTGTAGTTCCTTTATAGCCCAACATTAGCCACCTTTAGCTTAGCGGTGGTGACGTGAAGTCATGTGACCGTGCTGTAGTTCCTTTATAGCCCAACATTAGCCACCTTTAGCTTAGCGGTGGTGACGTGAATCATGTGACCGCGCTGTAGTTCCTTTATAGCCCAACATTAGCCACCTTTAGCTTAGCGGTGGTGATGTGAAGTCATGTGACCGTGCTGTAGTTATTTTATAGCCAAACATTAGCCACCTTTAGCTTAGCGGTGGTGACGTGAAGTCATGTGACCGTGCTGTAGTTCCTTTATAGCCCATCATTAGGTTTTTATATACGGAGATTGCATTTACGCTTCAGAAATCATAAAGTGGTTTTACTATGTGGAGATTATCCAGCTGAACAAAACGTGTAAGTATCATAAACGTTTGTTTGCCACAGATATTATTTTTGGGAGGAATCCAAAATCACATTGAGAAGTCCCTTTGTCTTTTTATGGTGGGAACCGGGTAGATACACCTTCATAAATACGTCATCACTGCACCACTCTATTGCATCCTGATACTAATTTCCTTCCTCTAGCCTACTTTGTTTTGCACTTTTTATTCTCCCCCTCTACCTGCTGCTGCTCCTGTTGCTCCTGCATGTATCTGGAGTTTGCCGACACCAGATGAGACTCCAGTCCCGTCGACTTGTCCTGACCTGATGATGTCAGAAGAGCCTGGACACACACACACACACACACACACACACACACACACCACACCACACACCACACACACACACACACACACACACACACACACACACACACACACACACACACACACACACAACACACACACACACACACACACACACACCACACACACACACACACACACACACACACACACACACACACACACACACACACACACACACACACACACACACACACACACACACACACACACACACACACACACACACACACACACACACACACACACACCACACACACACACACACACACACACACACACCCACACACACACACACACACACACACACACACACAGTTAGAAGAGGGGAAGAGACAAGAGTTTAAAGGTCCCCTATTATACTGTTTTTCATCAATATATCACAGGTCTCAGATATATACAGAGCCTCTCTCTGATTGGCTGAAACACCAAACAGATCATTGCAGCATTACCCATAATCCCCTCTGTTTCAGCCCTGTTTCCAAAGTGCTGATTCTCTGTCTGTTACTTTAGATGAAAATAAGGAGCCCCTCCCCTGAATGGTGCTCTAGGAGGAGATTCAGGTGATAAGGGGGGGGGGGTTACCTTGGTTGGTGATTGGCTAATGGTTACTCAAGCCAACACATCGTTATGACATCATAAAGTGGCCAAAATCTGATCAGCTCATTTTCAGACAGGTTTTTATAGAAATGGATCAGGAGAAAAAGAGAGAGAATCTTTGTTCCTGAAACTTTCAGAGTCTCTTTCCACAGAGGGGACACATGTTGATGTAGAAGAGACATGAAGAAGAGGGGACACATGTTGATGTAGAAGAGACATGAAGAAGAGGGGACACATGGTGATGTAGAAGAGACATGAAGAAGAGGGGACACATGTTGATGTAGAAGAGACATGAAGAAGAGGGGACACATGTTGATGTAGAAGAGACATGAAGAAGAGGGGACACATGTTGATGTAGAAGAGACATGAAGAAGAGGGGACACATGGTGATGTAGAAGAGACATGAAGAAGAGGGGACACATGTTGATGTAGAAGAGACATGAAGAAGAGGGGACACATGGTGATGTAGAAGAGACATGAAGAAGAGGGGACACGTGTTGATGTAGAAGAGACATGAAGAAGAGGGGACACGTGTTGATGTAGAAGAGACATGAAGAAGAGGGGACACATGTTGATGTAGAAGAGACATGAAGAAGAGGGGACACATGTTGATGTAGAAGAGACGTGAAGAAGAGGGGACACATGTTGATGTAGAAGAGACGTGAAGAAGAGGGGACACATGTTGATGTAGAAGAGACATGAAGAAGAGGGGACACATGTTGATGAAGAAGAGACGTGAAGAAGAGGGGACACATGTTGATGTAGAAGAGACGTGAAGAAGAGGGGACACATGTTGATGTAGAAGAGACATGAAGAAGAGGGGACACATGTTGATGAAGAAGAGACATGAAGAAGAGGGGACACATGTTGATGTAGAAGAGACATGAAGAAGAGGGGACACATGTTGATGTAGAAGAGACATGAAGAAGAGGGGACACATGTTGATGTAGAAGAGACATGAAGAAGAGGGGACACGTGTTGATGTAGAAGAGACATGAAGAAGAGGGGACACATGTTGATGTAGAAGAGACATGAAGAAGAGGGGACACATGTTGATGTAGAAGAGACATGAAGAAGAGGGGACACATGGTGATGTAGAAGAGACATGAAGAAGAGGGGACACGTGTTGATGTAGAAGAGACATGAAGAAGAGGGGACACATGGTGATGTAGAAGAGACATGAAGAAGAGGGGACACATGGTGATGTAGAAGAGACATGAAGAAGAGGGGACACGTGTTGATGTAGAAGAGACATGAAGAAGAGGGGACACATGGTGATGTAGAAGAGACATGAAGAAGTGGATTTTGCACAATAGGTGACCTTTAAACCAAAAAACAACTGTATTATCCTTTGTATTGATTTGACCCACCTCTCTGTTCTTCTTCTCGGCCTGAGCCACTGAAGAAGGGCTGGACAGATGATCCTTCATCTCCTGCACAAACACAAGAAAACTATTTACATTTCTCCCCCCACAATGTGTCGCAATCGCAGCTTAAAATCATTTTTAAAGCCCGGCTCAGTGCAGGCGGCTTTATTAATGAGATTTCCTGCAGCAGTAATAGAATCACCAGCCGGCAAAAACCTAAATGTCATGAGGCCTTTTGTCCGCTCGCGCTGAAGCTCCTTTGTTTGGCTTCATGACTCAATTCAGGTCTATTTAAAGAGGGAGCATTCGCCTGCATGTAATAGAGAGTGACTCAGATTTTCCATTTGGCCTGAAGCCTGGATCAATTCAGGAGGAAACCAGCCAACAGGTACTGATGGAAAATCAATGATATGTCTCCTTAAGATGAAAACACAGATACAGCAGATACGTTACTCTGTGCTTCAGATATGAACGCATTGACTCATGTTTGACCTGAACAGTCTGTGAGCTTCATATAACACTTAAAGGGCCCACGTCATGCTTTTCCGGTTATTACCCGTGTGTGTTATGAAGGTTTTTATGCATGTACACGGTCTGCAGAGTCACAAACCCTCAAAGTACACCCTGTAGCGAGTAAAACTCTAACACAGAGAAGACCTGTCTATGCTGCCCCAGAACGCCTCGTTGGACATTTCTCTTTTTCCATTGTTTGCTTCCTGGGTTCAGTGACGTGTGAACACCCAGATCAACAACACATGACCGGATTGGTCCATTTGGGCGGAGCACCTCACACTAGGGGTGTTTCTCAATCGCGAGTAAAGCTGCTTCCGAGCCACTATTTCAAGCATACTACGTCATCGAGTGCCGCCGAAGTACTGTTCCAATCTCCAGTATACTTGGAAATCTACCGAGCCCGGCGTACTCCGTTTGGAGAAATATCGAGGCTGCACATGAGTAGACTCCGCGGTCTTAAAATCCCCACAGTGCTTTGCGCACGGACCAATTTCCCCAAATCTGTGGCGGAAGATGTAAGGCGGGGCCTCTCATATGACGCACACCTGCACACTTGCTAGCGTGTTCCACACTTTGTTTTCTGAATGCCAGGAAGTATTCTTGCCTCGCTTCTGAAGCAAGATACTCGGCAGACATGTGCTACCAAGCAAGCGTACTCGCGATTGAGAAACACCCTAGGGCTGTGCAATTAATCGTATTTTAATCTCGATTACGATTTTGGCTTGCAACGATTACGAAAACAACGTAATCGAAATAAAACGATTATTATTTCTATAAAAAAAAAAAAAAAGAAATGTAATTATTTTTTTTTTTTTTTCAGTTGAATTATACTTAAAGTTCAGGGTAATCAACTGTTAAAAACATACTGTTCACATTTTTGTTTCAATAAATGGATGTTTTCAAAGTAAATGGATAATCGTTTTTAATAATCGTGATATCAATTATTGACCAAAATAATCGTGATTAGGATTTTTGCCATAATCGCACAGCCCTACCTCACACCCCAGGATCCCTTGGCTAACTAACAGGGAGTCCCATTGACTTGCATAGAGCTCCCTGAACGCTGGTAATAGACGAGTTGGGATGGCGGAGAAATGCTCTCCGCAGCAGACCCATTCTCACAGCGTTATAAACCTTTTTCTAACTCAATATCAAGCCACACTTGTTGTTTTTACTTCGGCTGTGAGTGTTTGTGTGTGCTCAGGATGAGTTTCGCTTGTTCTCGCTGTATCGCCGACCCGGAAACCTGTCCTCTCCTCGACCAATCAGAGCACACTGGGCTCATAGGGAGCGGGGGGGGGCAGGAGCTCCAACAAGCCGTTTAGGACAGAGAGTGAATACACATACTATACAGAGATGCTGTATGAGGAACCAATGTGAGTTTGGAACAATGAACAATTTAAATATATTCTAGTAGACCTCAACAATGGAAATATGATCAGTAGAAATGGCCGTGACATGGGACCTTTAAGTGATCAAAACTGCTTCGTATAGCTCTCAGAGAAGAGCCTTTTTAGTCTAGTGTCCTTTTACTTCTTATTGGGGACCCGATTGCTTATAAAGAACAACAACAGCAGGGCTATGTGGTCTCGCAGTGGGCAATATATTGCATTTTGTTCCTGTTTAGTGTCATGTTTTATGTGTATTTAAACTAAACTTTGATTAAGAATGGTTTATAAACATTATTTACATATTTTTGTAATATTGTATTCCGTTTCGTAGTTACTTCATTATGGCCTAACCCTATCACAACTTCTTTAAGATGATCCCATGTATGTTCAAACTTAACAATTGGACCAAGATGAGCAGGGGGCTTACATTTTACAATAACAATATAAATGTGTGCTCTCTATGAGACCAACAGTGAAATGGGTTTACTGTTTCTAAATTGTTAAAGCGTATCTTCACTATTTATCCACAGGAAAATGGTTCAGTATCGATATATCTACGATAAAGTCATATCAAAAGAGACTGAAATGATCTCATCTTGTCTCTCTAATGCTTTGGACAAGGTTCAACACTGGCTGAACAACATTTGTTTTAATGCAAAAAAAACAGTATGCATGATGTTCAGTAAACGACCAGTCAAAATCGAAGGATCCAATGTGTTTTTAAACGGAGCAGAATTAGAACTAGTCCCCCACTTCAAGTATCTTGGAGTCATGATGGACTCAAACTTGACTTTTAAGAAACACATTAAGAAAGTATCCAATACTATTAAATTCAACTTGCAACATTTTAAACAAATGTGACCTTTCTTAACTGTCAATGCTGCAAAGTCATACCTCCACTGTATGATTCTATCCCACATTGAATACTGTTTGACAAACTGGTCGTTTGCTTGTGCCACAAACCTGAAACCCATAGAACAGCTGTGAGAGAGAGCTATCAAGGTGTTTGACAGAAAGCCTAATTCATACCACCACTGTACCATCCTTGAGAAACACAATTTCTTGAGCTTAGACAATTTTAAGTCTTTTAAAAGTATGTGTTTTATTTATAAATGTTTACATGGACTTCCCCCCCCCCCCCCCTCCCTTAGGGGAATTCATCCACAGAAAACACACTGGACGCTGCACTAGGTCAGAAACCAGAGGAGACTGTGAAGACGGACCACCTTTGGACAAAATGTCCTCTCCGTTAAAGGCAGCTCTTTGTGGAACAGCCTCCCAACTGAGATACGGGATTGTCCCACTCTCAATAGTTTCAAAGGTCAACTCAAAGAATGTTTGAGAAACAAACAGACGTGTAATCACCGCTAAATGCACTTTAACACAGGGGTATCTCCTCCTGCACTTCACATGTCGTCGCTGCTATATATATCATGTATTTATTTTTTGCCATGTATATAAATGTCATGTTCTTATATGTTGTATGTGACGGGACTACGGATGGAAATTAGCTCAAAGCTAAAATCCGGCATATTTACATTTTGAAGCATTAATTGTTAAAAATGTCCCTGTTCAAATAAACGATTAAATGAAATGAAAAATGAAGATTACATCAGTAATAGATTTATCCGTCAGAAGTCGGGTTTTTAGATTAGGTTGCTGCATTTTAAAAGTACATACATGAAAGATACAAATATATATGTGAGCATAAGAATATAAAGTAAGTCATAATTTAATATATAGTGTTTTTTTCAGAAGATTCCACCTCCTGAAGTTCACTAAAAATGTGAGGTATTTAAATTACAATACTCACAAACAAAAGATCATGCAAAGTCTACAAGTGTTGACACTCCAATGAATGAGAACATTTTAAATATATCAGTGATAAAAATACACATGTTAGTCCTCAAAGTGTACCTGCACAGACGTCCTGGTGCGCTCCACGAAGGCTCTCCTCTCCTGGAGCTCATCGTCTCCCAGTCTGAACTTCCCTGGGTTCGACTCCACGATACCTGAGGCCAGTTAAAGACCCAACAACCACATCTCTACACACACACATTTACACACACACATCTCTACACACACATCTACACACACATCTACATCCACACACATTTACACACACACATCTCTACACACACATCTACACACACATCTACACACACACACACAACACACACACACCACCACACACCACAACACCACACACACACACCACACACACACACACACACACACCACACACACACACACACACACACACACACACACACACACACACACACACACACACACACACACACACACACACACACACACACACACACACACACACACACACACACACACACACCACACACACACACACACACACACACACACACACACACACACACACACACACACACACACACACACACACACACAAAATGGCTTTTTCAGCTAATTAAAAGTGAGAAAACAGGTTTGAAAAGACAAATAATGGGGGCAAGTGTTTAACTTGTGATGTGTCATTTTGTAAAGCACTTTGAGCTGCATGTGTTGTTTGAAAAGTGCTGTATAAATAAAGCTTTATTATTATAAGTGTATGGATAAAGGGAGCAGCGGGTGAGAGTGACACAAAGCAGCCGGTTGTTGTTTTAAAGACAGTCAGGCATGAGCAGATAAGGCCTGAGTAAATAAGGGAATCTTTAAAGTGTGAAGGATACTGATGGTCTCACTGAGGTCCTCCAGGTCCCAGTCGATGGCCCTCAGACAGTTCCTCAGCTCGTTGGCACTCCAGTCCAGCTCATCCCGACTGACCTGAGACCAGCAGAAACAGAAACAAAAACACACTCACTATGTGTACGGTACGTTTATTTATAGAGCACATTTTCAGACACAGAGGCAATTCAAAGTGCTTTAGGATGTGAGCATGTCGTGACGATAATCGTGTTATAAGGACATTAATGATATTAAGTAGGCAAATGAACTCAAACACGTCATGTTACAATTATTTTGCTGCTTGCTACAAAAGGAAAACTTGCGCGGCTCTCATGTCAGGGGTACTTGGGTGAGTGACATGCATGCACAGCAAACCACCAATCACAACCATTCTTGATCAGATCACAGCAGGATAACCGAGCTAGCTCAGCTTGTTGCTCTGATAACTTAAGATCCAGAAGTCCGTGACTAAAATCCTTCATCCGGTTAAATATTGTTTAAAAAATACCAATTGTATAACATTAAAGTTCAAGAAAGGATGGTTTGCAGACAAAAAAAACGGTCTTTTCTTCAATTCCTGTATTTTTTCATATCGCAGGGGAAGACAATATCGCAATGTCAGTTTCTTCCAATATCGTGCAGCCCTAGTTAATAGCTTGTAGTCCAGTGATGCTTTCTATCGAGCTCTAGAGGGGAAGATCTAAATGAATCATGACATATTTTAGATACCAAGAGACCTTTAAAGCACGGCAATTGAATAGAAGTAGATACAACACATAATGCACACATTAGCACACATATTATGTATCTCATATAGTCAAAAGTATAGCCAATCAACAACCAGGTAAATAGGCAATTATTACAAATATTCCCTTTTTACTGAATATTGAAACGTAATTTTATAATATGTATCCTAATGATTTTAATGTTTTTTGTAAAGCACTTTGAATTGCCTTGTTGTTGACATGTGTGATATAAATTAACCTGTCTTGCCTTATTCCCTTTTATTTTTACATTTGATGTTTGTTAGCTTTCTTAGACACTGGCTTTAGATCCTGCCCTCTTGTTCCTGGTGTGTTAAACATGTTAGAAAGAAGAGCTGCATGACTGTCAGTGTTTCACAGCCTCAGGTCAGTGATTTCTCAGTGAGTGTACAGAGGCCTGTACGACGAATCCAGTTCAACAGACCCTGGATATGTTTGAGTTACCCGGTTTAACTAATCCAAAACAAACGCGCTCTCGCTAAACGGTCCTACGGCGCTGGTTATCAACTCGTTAACTCAAGCCAGGGTTTCTCTGTCCGGCTGAGTGCGCGTTCACATGAAATGGGCGGGGTTAGCAACATTTGACCAATCACAAACATGGAGAAGCGTACTGACAGCGCAGCGTCATACTTCATGAATGAAAAGTCAACTATAATATTAGACAAATATGAAGACGTTAAACTTTAAACATCCATGACTTAAACACTTTATCCAGGATCAAAGCCACATAGCTGCACCTGCAAGGTGAATACAGCTGGTAACAGAAAAAGTGTTTGAATGCGTACATTAACAGGTTTATGATATCACTGCCCCGTCTAAGACACGATCTGACTTTAATTACATTTGACTCGAGTGTTTCTTCAACTTAATGTGTTGCTTAAAATAATACTTCTGCATACAGTATGTGACACTGTGAGTGTTGCACGGCCAGATACGGCTCAGCTGACTCAGATAAGGAAATGTATGATACATTATGATGTGATATGATATGAATGATAATGGGACACATCGACGTCTGCACTCACAGTGCCGCGGACTGTACTTAATGTTACTTTGATCCGGTTACTTATGTCGTGGCAGATATTTAAGTAAGCTTTCTTAACGCTAATGTTATAATAGTCAGATTGCTCTGAAGATGGGAGGGGATATTCTATTAATTTTCACGTTCACACAGTCAGTTGATTTTTGCCGGCCGTCTTTCCTGCAACGGCAGTTTTTCTGTATTTCCTCTATCCTGTAATATGAATTGATAGCTTTAAACTCCGCACACGGAGCTCTGATTGGTCAGCAGGCGGTGCTTTCACTGAGTTGATCTCTTAGCCTGCAACATAACCTCCTCCCGAGGAGGTTAGCCGCTCAGCATAAGTTACCATGGAGATCTAGCCCGCTAAAAAGAGAACCAGTGTCGTAGGACCGGAAAGCCAGAGTTAACCCTGAAGTTAGCCGGCTAAGCGAAAATCCGGCTTCGTAGTACAGGCCTCAGGTGTGAGAGAGAGATGCTCACCTGAGTGCCTTCCTGCAGCAGCTCCTCCCATCTGTCAAACAGCCCCCGAGCACGAGAGAGGGCCTTCTGCACCTCTCTGAACACACACACACACACACAGTTAAAGATGCAATAACAAGAGGCTTTTTCTTCGTACTTATTGGTGTGATTCACAGAAAGAGCAGTTTGTCTTTTTGACAAGGTCTCTCACACACACACACACACACACACACACACACACACACACACACACACACACACACACACACACACACACACACACACACACACACACACACACACACACACACACACACACACACACACACACACACACACACACACACACACACACACACACACACACACTTTTGACAGGGTAACATTTATGAAGTATTTATTTATTATTTAGTATCATTAAGATAGGAATGTCCTTCAAAAAAAGAATCGCAAACAGTCAAAGCATGCATGACCTATTTGAGGTATACAGTAGTAGTGTCCTTCGTACAGTAGCAGTGTCCTTCGTCCTTCTCTCTGACACCTGGCTGTTTTCCTGCTCCTTGTTTAACCACAACAAACAGAAGCTAACAGTTCGCATCCTTCTCTAACTTCACAGCCCTTTGTAAACTGCCTGACAACAGCCCACGTCTTCCTTTCGTCTTCTCACTAACAGCTAGATGAAACAAAGGCAAATCTCAGAGATGACTCAGAGCGGAAGAGACTCTTTTTTTAGTCTAAACAAACGTAAACAAACTGATTAGCTTGTAGCTCTGATGCTAGTTAGCTACAGCTAGCATTAGCCTTAACTTCGCTAATATAACTTTGTTTTAAATGAAAACACTAACTCGCTGTCAGGTTAAGCTTTTAACATGTTATAGAAAAGGGTCAGCTTGACGTTTTGTTGAGTTTAAGGTCTTAATTTGTACATTTCTTACCCTTTCACAACGAAAAATGGGTCTTCTACTGACATGATGCTGAACGTTACTTCCTGTTCTCTTCACGCGCATGCGCACTGTGCAGAAAGAGATCAATAGTTTATATTTATTTAGTTAAACTAAATATCATAATACTCAGTAGTGGATAGTCCGTGTACCTTGGTTTCAATTGTTGTTCTTTCTTAAACCAGTAAACGGGAAAGTATGGAAGCCTGTTTGCGCCACAGAAAAGGTACTAATGTATCCTGTAAATCCAAATGATGAGATGGTAAGCAGAGGTGTAAAGTAACTTAATGGTAGCCCACTGTATTTAAGTACAATATAGAGGTACTTGTACTTTACTTTAGTATTTACATGTACTGCTACTTTGTGCTTCTACTCCACAGTTCAGAGGTAAATGGTGTACTACTCCACTACATGTATGTAATACCTTTAGTTACTTTACAGATGTGGATGAGTGATGTGAAATATAATCAAGTGTTAAATCAGACTTTAGTTCCACCTGGAGTAAATCCACAAGCTACCCTGCAGTATACAAAGTCATTCAAACTAGCTGCACCTTTACCAGCTTTGAGAACACTTTCATGATCAATCATTATAAAACATATCATATATATTATTCTGAAATGGACCAATCTGCACAATGACTACTTTTACTGTCGCTACTTTAACTATATTTTGATGAGAATACTTTTATACTTTCACTTGAGGAACATTTTGAATGCAGGACTTTTACTGAAACAGTGTATTCCTACACTCTGGTACTTCTACTTTTACTCAAGTACAAGATCTGAGTACTTTTACTTTTACTCAAGTACAAGATCTGAGTACTTCTACTTTTACTCAAGATCTGAGTACTTCTACTTTTACTCAAGTACAAGATCTGAGTACTTCTACTTTTACTCAAGATCTGAGTACTTCTACTTTTACTCAAGTACAAGATCCAAGTACTTCTACTTTTACTCAAGTACAAGGTCTGAGTACTTCTACCACCTCTGGTATAATAGGCCTACTATATATATATATATGCATACTAATCACCAGGTGCCCAAAACCTCCTTCAAACTAAAAGCATAGAGAAGTGCTGCAACTGAACTAACTATGATAAATAATGAGTCATTTAATTCAAACAAAAATAGCTAGAAAATAAATATGTAATGACTAAATAACATAAACCCTTATATAGCTCCAACGAGTAATAAAACCAAAAACTGTAGCGTAAAAAAAAACAGTCTGGAGAAATGGTCTCTGGGCTTTTCGGGACAGAAAAGGACTTCCTGTTACACATCTGTATGAAATTAGTTGCCACGGTAACAGCGACTGGTTGCAGCTGCTGCAGGAGTTTGTAGTAAATGACTGTATGATAGTTTACACAGAGAGAAAGAAATGCAATGCTTTTAACTCTTTGTTTACACACTGCCCAAATATAGCTTGGTGCAGTAGAGCAGGAGCAGAGAGGGGGGGGGGGTTTGTCCTGGAAGAATACACACAGAAGAATTGAGAATTGAACATCGCAAGTACACTTTTATGACAACTGTGCAACATCTGTATCCTAGAAAATCATGTAATGTGATTCTGAAATGTCCTGAAAAGCTGCTAAAGTCATGTTATGTTGAGGTTGTTTTCTCAGCTGCTGTGAGAATGATCGTTCGTGGTGAAAACATGTGCATAATGAGACTAAATAAGTGTTTTTTGCACTTCCAGTGTGGTCTACAAAGCCAATAAAGTGTAGAAAATGAAGGTGTTAAAATGTGATGTTGACACTAGAAGTTCATTCTTTACTTTTAATCAACAATGATTTAATGAATGAACACCTGTAACATTTAATTGTAATCGGCTTTAATGACCGTACAGTTACAAAATATCTGTCACATATGACCAATGTGCATTTTAGTTCCGTTACAAATCAAACTTCTGATAAAATACTTTATTTTAATATAAAAAAATCTTTATTTTCATGAATTGATGACGCTGTATTGTCTTGTGTTTGAGTGTGGACATGTGTTTATTAGGGGGATTAAATATTAAGCCACTAAAATACCTATACTCTCGTTAAACTGTCACAAGTATGCAATAAAGGAAAATCTAAAAACGTTGAATAATCTGAAATATTATTCAACGCTTCCTATCCATACATTTCTATTTATCTGATACAACTTAAACATGTTGACCACGGGGGGAATCGAACAACCGACCCTCCACTTAATTATTCAACTACATTTCATTCACAATTATGTATTCTCTGAGGTGCTGTTTACACGAGAACGAAACGGGTTGTATCTGGTACTTTTCTCTCGCGTATAGCCCGTTCGTTCACACGAGGCCGTAACGGAACCACGGAAACGGACCGCGGAAACGGTAACAGGTCCCAAGGTGGATAGATCTGCGGACGGAACGCTCTGGGGGGGCAAACAGCTCCGTGTGTACGTCCTATACGATCATTTCCTGATAACGATGAAGCCATAGCCCCGCCTCTCCCCACCTCTGCTGCTCACTGCTGTAGCATGGTGAGTAGCAGTAGCAGTGCTACTGCTACTGCTACTGCTACTGCTACTGCTAGTGCTACTGCTACTGACCATGCTACAGATGCTACAGATGCAAAATCTACAGCTCCTCTACCACAACCATCAGCAACAAGTGGACATGGAGAATTACATGAACTACATGTTGCTAAATCTACCGCGGGGCATAAACAGAAGGGCAACCATGGCAACCATGCTCAGGGTGTCTTCTTCGCTGCTTTTGGTGTATTTTGTGGCAGAAGTACAGCGCCACTTACAGGCCTGGCATATGTACTACAGCGTCTCCAGCGCTCCTCGTGTGGACGGAATACTTTTTTGATATCGTATTCAGTTCGTTTGCGTTTCGTATGCGTTTGCGTGTGCGTGTAAATGGGGTCTGAGACACAACTGCATTTTATTTATAGAGCGCTTTTCTAGAAACTCAAAGACACTTTACAGAGTCATTAAAATATTATTAAAACAACACACTTAAAATATATAAAACACAACATTAATTACAGATAACAGTTTAAATACATGGAAATCTGACCGAAGCTGACCAATCCTCTGCACACTTTCCATATCTCATTCAAAATGAACTCATGAAGGATCCACATTAATACACAGAGTGGTTTTGGGTGTTGCTGTGAAATAAATCCTGCATGCTCATCAAATCCTGCTTCCTGTCCCTCCCGTCTGTATTCCTGGGGGTTTCTCTCTGGATCCCACCCTGTCCTGTATAGCTCCTTCCTTCCTTCCTGTTCTCATCCTGTTTCCTCCCCTCTCCTCCTCACCCCTCCTCTCCCCTCCTCTCCCTCCTCTCACCTCCACCCTCTCAACACTTCCTGACTTCACCCCCTGTGAAAATTCACAGCCAGGGTTATAAACGTCCTCTAATCACACTGTGAGTCAGAAATGTAATTCGTAAAAATAGCATAATTTTTCTCCGATCCATCTGTTCATTAACCTGATGCATGCTTTATTTTTAAGCATACATTTTTAAATATTAGATATTAAATATCGGGTGAAAGTCGTGTTTTTTTTAGTTTCTTTAAAAATGTCACTTTTTGTTGGCAGTGTTTGTTTGTTTCTTTAGTCGTAGTTTTTTATTTTGACATAATTAAAGAGCATTTTCCAGATCACACGTCTGAAAGTCCCAGGAAGTATTTTGATTCTTTATTTAAAGTGGACCTCTTATGCTATATTGGAAACATATTGTCGGGCCATACCTATACAAAACATGTCTGTGAAGTTTTTTGCTTCAAATCCCAAACAGATCACCCATTGCCTCATTCTGCTCAAACCCCTCTTTTGCAGCCCTGTTTAGAGAAACGCTGATTTTGGGTCCTTAGGAGGCGGAGCTAATGCCTGATCAGAATTCTACCGGAGATAAAGTTAAATTCTGCTGTGATAAAATTCCATCATGTTCTAAACCACATCAAGGATTATTTCTGAAACAGTATGGAGCTTAAATGCTTTTTCTCTTGCGGGTTTATCACAAGGTGAGTTCCTTTTTTTAAACACATGTGCTCTCCAGTACAGGTTAGCTCTGAGTGTTAGCGAGGCTTGCTAATGTAAACAAAGACGAGATTACGTCCAAAACACGTCAGGCATTGTTTCTGATAGCAACTCTCTGTGGGTCCGCCGCCGATTTGATGTCATATCGGCAGCATATCTGTATCCGCTCGTTGTACCCCCGTTTTTAGAGATTTGGGTACGGAGGAAAAGAGAGAGGGTATAAAAGACATCAAAAAGTGCATTTTGCATGATAGGTCCCCTTTAAAGGTTTTTTGGGGGGTTTTCCCTTTCCTTATATTTGTATCTGTATGGGCCTCTTTAAGTAAAGGGACATTACAGAAGGAGTATAATCATATTAAGAGGGGAAAGGGATACTATATTACAGGATGTCAAACATCCATAGTATCCATGTAACATATAGCTACTGGCATACTATGAAAACATGAAGGCTCTTTGATCCAAGTTATATTGCTATTCTTTGGAAAGTACGGTTACATTTCGTTTTTTAACGGTAGAGATAATCCCCATTTTAATACAAATCTATAGGCAGAGATGGTATCAGTGCACTAATGTTCTAGGAAGATGACTTGTGGCTGTAAAAATGCAAGTGATTTGAAATGGTAGACAAGCTGCTAAAAGTTAGCTTAGCTCTTGGCTGGAGAGAAGGCACGAACCAGACTTCAACCAATGCATGTTTTGATCAAATATATATACGGGGTTTTCATACCCTCCTACAAAATAGCTGGTTTTGGCTGTTTATTAAAAAAAACAATATTACTGTTACGGTTTTGGCCAAGTTAAGGACTCTTTTGGCGCGTTTCCACTACACGGCCTCGCTCGGCCCCGCTCGGTATGGCTAGGCCTCGTTAGGACTGGCTCACTTTATGGCGCATTTCCATTACAGTTTAGGAACTGGGGTAGTATCTATAGTAACGCAGTGTAGGCGGAGCCGTGACGTCATCTTCAATGAGAACCCCAGAAAAACAACACAGCCGTTAGCTGTTAGCACTCAGAGCTCACAGCTCCTCATATCTGTTCAGAAACTAGACAAAAGTT